CAACTGAAAGATGTTTAACATAGCGAAATTGGAAGGTATCTGTGGAGGGGCTGCTCCCCAGGGGAGTATTTTCCCCAGCCCAGTGCACTACCCGTCCTCTTTCTTGCCTTTTCCTATAAGAACGTTCCCAGAGCTGAGGGAAATTGATTGTTAAGTGAAACTCTCTGATAATTGCTTCTAAAATGCCCGCTGTTATTGTGATGGACTTGGCGGTGAGCAGCCCCACTTAGCAGTCCCACTGCGTTTCTATCCAATACTGTGGCCGTGATGGGGACATCATGGGCCAGCCAAGGCACCATCAGTGACTTTGTAGCAGCAGCATCCTTGTGGCAGTCCTCACCTCCAGGATGTGGTGAGGAAAAGAGGCTCAGAGAGGTGAAACCATGCACCTGGGGTCCCACGGCTGACAGAGGCCCAGGCCTCTGTGCAGGCCCAGAGGCGCCCTGACCTTGCTTAGCAGACACCGACTGTGTGCCAGGGCTGGGCTGCTACAAACCCAACATCCTCCAGACACTCCCCACCAAGCCCAGAGCTCAAAGGGGAAAGGAGGCATACGTGGCAGAAGGTTCCTTGAGTGCCACAATGGGGACAGGTAGACACTTGGCAGGGGGTCAGAGAGTGGTCAGAACGTCTCAAGCATGAGGGCGTGGGCCAGGCAAGAGGAGTCTGGACAGGAGTGAACAGGGAGGGGCCAACGTGTGCAGGGGCCTGATGACAGCTCCAGGAGCAGAGCTCACTCCCAGGGGATAGGCACTCAGGGTCAGGGGTAGGAATGGAGCTCATCTCCCCCATACAGTCAGGTGCCTTGGAGACAGGACCAAATTGGGGCCCCAGCTCTGTCCTTGCCCTGCTGAGTATCCTGGTAGATTGTCCCTTCACTTCTGTGTCTCAGCTTTTCTCCATCTTGCCTGCCCCCAAGCCATTAGGAGGACCCAGGAGAGGTGGAAGGGAAGTGCTAGGGGGATGGACCTTGGGCAGAGTGGGCATGGTCTCCCTGCCGTCCCTGAGTACGCGTGACTGTTGTGGGCTCTGTGGAGACAGGAGCCCGAGGTCTGAGTGCTCCTTAGGGTGCTCATGCACAGCAGTGGGTGGTCCCAGTCCTCTCACCCTCTCCTTGGGCCACATGCGGCCACAGCTTTGCCCACGCCACCCCATCAGCTGCCTCAGCCCTTCCTCCCCCACCACCAGGCCTGCCTGTTTAGCAGTTTCCACACGTCCAGCGCCCAGGGATGGACTGATTGATCTGTAACACTGAAAAAATAATAATGGCTTGATCGTTACTGAGGATTAAAAGTAATCCTTTCGCTGTGGCTATTGCAACTCCGTTATTCACGAGTCAGCGGGCTGACCCGGGCCTTTGAGCCCACGAGACTCCGTGAGCTCAAGGAGGCTGGGGGCTGGGGCCCTTTCTCTCTGGGTCTCCTTGCCCTATCAGCTGGGCGAGGGAGCTGGAAGGGTCTGTTGCCCCCTTGTTTGGGAGCCTGTGAATCCCAAGGTCAGGGCTGAGCTCGGAGAGGGTGAAGGAGTTGGCACCCCCTGGCCAGGGGTGGAGATACGGACAGGAGAGGATAGTTCCTCGGGACCGTGGCCACTTTGGAGATATCCATTAGTGCCAATTTGGTGTCTGTAGCCCCCATCTACTCTGTGGCTTTTCTGTGGCAAGAGACCTGATCTGGGCCGGGCGCTGTGGCTCACGCCTGTAATCCTAGCTCTTGGGAGGCCGAGGCGGGCGGATTGCTCAAAGTCAGGAGTTCAAAACCAGCCTGAGCAAGAGCGAGACCCGTCTCCTACTATAAATAAAATAAATAATGTGGCCAACTGAAATATATAAAAAAATAGCCGGCATCGGTGCGATCCCTGTAGTCCCAGCTACCAGGAGGCTAGGCAAAGGATCACTCGAGCCCAGGAGTTGAGTTGCTGTGAGCTAGCTGACGCCACGGCACTCATCTACCTGGGCACAAAGCGAGACTCTGTCTCAAAAAAAAAAAAAGAGACCTGATCTGGTTCCCACACTCTACCACAACCTCAGCCTCTGAGAAGGACGGTGGCCTCAGCAGAGCCCCATGTGGGCTGCAGGCCCACATTGAGGAAGATCTGGGGTCCCTAATAGGTCACCAGGCAAGGAAAAGTGGGTGTCAGTGATTGACCAAGGCTCATTCCTCGAGGTGTAACCTCAGGGGCTGTCTCCCTAGGCTGTACAGATCCTCCAGGCCAAGCACTGAGCTTGTGCCTGGTGCATTGTTAGTGCTCAGTTAACATTAGTGGCAATGCTATTAACTGTAGATGTCACAGAATAATATCCTCTGTGGAAGGCACTGCAGGCTTAGGGATTGGGGGCCTCACCTATCCCAGAGGTTGGGATCAAGGAGCAGGTATTTATGGTTTAAACCAAGAAGAGGCCCCAGGATGGAAAAGGAAGGACGGGAGCCAGGCATAGGTGGGCCCTACAGAGCCTCAAAATAGCTTTGCCTCTTACATGCAGAGCAGTAGAGAGCTGGGGCAGAGGCCAGCAAAGTGATCCTGATAGGATCTACACTTTGAGATAAGGCCCCAGGTGTAATGTGGAGAACAAACAGATAACGGGGACAAGAAGAACACAGGTTCCTGGGGCAGGACAGAGCCTGTGCTGAGGGTGAATGGCGGTGGTTAGAGTGATGTGGAGGTTGGGATGTAGAAGGAAGAGGTTCCAGGGTGGATATGGGCCTGTTCCAGGAGGAGCTGTTGTGAGTTCAGTGGGTCTGAGGGTCGTTCCAGGGAAGGGTCCAGGAGCTCAGGAGGGCCCAGGATTGGAGGCAAGACGTGAGAGGCATCATGGAGTCGAGAGCCCTGTGGTGTCTGAAGCCCCAGGAGTGTGAGGCAGGGTTGGGGGACTGGAGGGTGTGGGCCCCACCCAAGCAGGCCCTGCAACGAAAGGGGGACAGAGGACCAAGCCTGCAAAGGAGAGGGAGGCGGAGGCCAGGAGGGTCTCACTGCATTGTGAGGTAGGGGTTGATCTGTGAGGCGCTTCTCACCTGTTGCCAGGACCCCCAGCCTCTGCCTTCCCACCACTCAGTGCTCTTGGCCTGAGGAGGGGAGCCAGGCCCAGTGGGAGTGGAGATGGCTGTGCATGGCTCCCCTAAGTGTGGGGGGTGACATCCTGCCCCAGCAGAGTGGAGGCCACAGCTGCGCATGGGGGTCCCACCCTCCCCTGCTGTTCCTTCAAAGGAGGAATGGTGGGTCTCCCATGTCCCAGCTCCCATTTTTCCCTAGTGGGCAGCTGCCAGGCCTTATTAGAACCTCCCACCTGGGGTCCACATGTCACATCAGGCCTGCACTGGTAGAAGTGTCCTGGGTACCAAGGGACCAAGGCCTTCTGATGGGGCCTATAGGCCTGGAGGCTTATGGGATGGGATGGGATGGGATGGGATGGGATGGGATGGGATGGGATGGGATGGGATGGGATGGGATGGGATGGGAGACCAGAGCCACTTCCTTCACTGGACATGGTGGCCCCTATGGAGGGTGGTCTTTAGACCTTGGTCATGGGCTGAGCAAGGTGAATGCACTGATGAGGGCTGGGCTCCGAGCCCAACCTGACACAGACTCCTTGTGTGACCTTGGGCAGGCTGCTCATGGGCTCTGTGCCTGGCTGTCTTCATCTGAGGAAGGCCATAATGGCCCCACAGTAGGCACTTTGTGAATGACTACAGATACACATATGTCACTGGCTGGGGGAGGGCTTGGCATGCAGTAGGTGGCCAGTTCTTAGTGATGGCTGTCATGATGAACAGCACATCTCCACTGGATGTCCCAAAGGGCCAGACTTAGTTCCATCCTTGGGAGCCCCAAGACTTCCTAGACGGGCTGGGCATGGTGGCTCACACCTGTAATCCTAGCACTCTGGGAGGCCAAGGCAGGCAGATCACTCAAGGTCAGGAGTTTAAGACCAGCCTGAGCAAGAGAGAGACCCTGTCTCTGCTAAAAATGGAAAAAATTAGCTAGACAACTAAAAACATATAGAAAAAATTAGCCGGGCATGGTGGCACATGCCTGTATCCCAGCCTACTCGGAGGCGCAGGCAGAAGGACCACTATGAGGCCAGGATTGGAGGCTTGCTGTGAGCTAGGCTGATGCACAGCACTCTAAAGCCAGCGCCACGCTTCGTGTCAAAAACCCCGCCTTGAAGGGACATGAATCACAAGGAAAGCACCAAATAAAACCCGTCCTCTACGGTGGTTGGATTCAAGCCTAGAGAGTGGCTAGGCTCCAGTGCCTCCTCCCGCAAGCCCTTCCCTGATAGCCCGGATTCCCACAGCACTGAGCTTCCCGCACCTCAGCCACTCCTGCCCTGGTCATTCTGCCCAGTTACGTGTCTATGACCTGTGAGAGGCAGACACGGGGTCTGCCGTATCTCTGCAGGTCAGCACAGCCTGGCTCCAAGCACGGCCATGGCAGGTGCGGGATTCACAGGCACAAGGGCTTCCCTGGCAGTGGCCATGGAACCAGTCCCAAAGAATGGGCCAAGCTTGTGTGGAGAGAGGGCTTGGGAGCCCTGTGGGAAGGGGTTTAGGAAGCTCGAGAAAGGGACAGTAGTCCTGGGTGGGTGGAGGTGGGCTGTGGGCACCTTCTGCTGGGCCCTGGGCAGACGGGGGAAAGAGCATCGATGAGGTGAGGCGCTCTGTGACTTGTGGGGCAGTTCACCCTTGGCTGGGGAGGACTTCCTCTTAGCACTGGGGTGACACTAATTTGTAGGGGTAGAGAATGGCATTGGGGTTTGGCCCAGTCCTGGGGTGCCCCTGCCATCCTCTGGGCAGGAGACGTTGCTGTGAAGCACAGGGAGTCCCACGGAGATGCCACTTGGATCGCCTCGTACAGGCTCTGCCTTTCCTGTGTGGTCAGGGAGTGCCCATGCGGCAGCTGCGGTGTCTGGGACTGAGGACTCTCTGAGGATCAGGCTCTGGGGCAGGCATGGGGCAGGCAGTCTTCCTCAGCCTCTGACTTTCCTGCATTTTGTCCCTTAGAGATTGGCCGATGCTGCAGAGAACTTCCAGAAAGCCCACCGCTGGCAGGACAACATCAAGGTAAGAACCCCAGCACTGCCCCCAGCACCCAGGGTGTGCCCGCCCAGCCAGGGAGGACATGAAGGGGGCTGCCCGGGAGCACTGCGGGAGCGCCGAGCAAGGGGTCTGTGCAGTGGAGCCAGAAGCTACTGTCCAACATTCAGCAAATAGTCCAGGCCCCCCTCAGTGCTGGGGCACACAGCAAGGTATGAGCCGCCATTTTACTCCAGAGGCAGCATGGAGCCCCCTGTGAGTCGTGTTCCCCAAAGGAGGTGCCAGATTCGTGGAGAGACCGCAGGTCAAAGAGGCCTCTTGACTTCAGGACTGGTCAGAGACCTTAATGCAGTGACCTAGAGGGGACGCTGGGGAAAGAGGACCACGTCCCCTGCCCCGACTTCCCTGAACAGCAGCCCATCCTCCAGGACGCTGGCCGGCTGGGCCTGGGGCCAGGCTGCGCAGTCACAAAAGCCTCTCCTTCCGCCATGAGAGCTCAGAAGGGGCTTAGTCCTCAGAGAGGAGGTACAGAGGGCCCAGGATGCAGGGGAGGGAAGGGAGTCTCGCCATGCCCAGCCTCAGGCCTAGGCTGCCCTTGCCAATTGCTTGCTGTGTTTGATTCCACCTGGGGCGGGATATACCTGCCCCTTTGCTGTTAGGCCTGGTCAGACTGAGACAAGACTCCCCTGGGAAGGACACAGGAAAACCCCAGTGCCAAGGATGATGGGACCCTCGGGGATCATACCAGTTGGAGAGCTGCTTAGGCGTCTGGGCCAAGCCTCCTAGTGGTCCTGTGCTAAACTCGGGGTGGCAGACCTTTGACTCACTCCAACTCTGGGCCAGGCACATCTAGGCACATCTGCTCCAAGAAGCAGGTGGGGGCCAGGCGTGGAGGCTCACGCCTGTAATCCTAGCACTCTGGGAGGCTGAGGCGGGCGGATCACTCAAGGTCAGGAGTTCGAGATCAGCCTTAGCAGGGGGATGGGGGAATGGGCAATATATGTAACCTTAACACTTGTACCCCCATAATACGCTAAAATAAAAATAATTACTTAGTTAATTAATTAATTTTAAAAAAAAGAAACCAACCTGAGCAAGATTTTGTCTCTACTAAAAATAGAAAGAAATTAATTGACCAACTAAAAAGATATATATAGAAAAAATTAGCCGGGCATGGTGGCGCATGCCTATAGTCCCAGCTACTCAGGAGGCTGAGGCAGCAGGATCGCTTGAGCCCAGGAGATTGAGGCTGATGCCATGGCACTCACTCTAGCCGGGGCAACAAAGTGAGACTCTGTCTCAAAAAAAAAAAAAGCAGGTGGGGTTCTTACCCCTGTTTAACTGACAGGAAGACTGAGGCATAGAGTGTTTGGACTTACCTGAGATTGCCTGTTGGTGGCAGATTCATAGCCGCTTTCAGGTACCATGGGTTCATGCCTATGATCCAGGTCCCAAACCTGCTCCTCCTCCCTAGTCCCCATCCCCCAGGCACCCTGAGCTTGCCCTGCCGTGACCACACTGTGGCACTCTTCCTCCAGCCCCTGGTAGGTAAAGGGTGCTGCCCCCAGGGAGTTCACCTGGGGTTGGGGATGACAGGTGATTATTTAACATGAACAAGTGAAAGGGCTAGTGACTCCCTAACCAGTTCCCTTCCCTGGGAGCCTGGGGACTGACCCTTCTCGCCCTCCTCACTCTGGCACCGCCACCCTTCACTGGGCCCTGTGCCGCCTCAGCCCCTTAATCAGAAACACCCATGACAGGCCGGGCGCGGTGGCTTAGCGCCGTGGGTAAATCCTATGCCTCTCCTGGAGGGGCCAAGGCGGGTGTGGATTGACTCAAGGTCAGGAGTTCGAACCCTAGCTGCAGACACAGAGCTGAGACCGAGCACCCCGTCTCTACACTACTACCAAATAACGAAAAGAAACTTTAAATTGGCCAACTACATACATCATACGAAAATCAGCCGCCCATGGTGGCACATGCCTGTAGTCCCAGCTTACTTGGGAGGCTGAGGCAGGCGGGATCAACTTGAGCGACCCAGGAGTCTTGCAGCGTTGCCCTGTGAGCTGGCTGCCCACCACGCAAACTGCACACACTTCTAGCCTAGGCAACAAAAGCGGACTCATGTGACGTCAAAACACAAAAGAAAAGAAAAGAAATACCCATGACAGCTCGCACTCCCCACTGAGACAATACCCTCACCTCCAAAGAACCCCTGCCCTGGCAGCCCCACCCACAAGGCCAGGATCTGGCCACTCCTGCCTCCCTCCTCCCGTGCCCCCACCACACTGAACACTTCACTCCAGCCCCTTTCTTGTCTCCGGGCCTTTGCTCATGCTACCCTGCCCAGAATGCCCTCTGTTCCTCCTGGAGGCCCAGCTTGTCTCCCCCGCCCCCCGAGGCTGCTTTCTTCCCCAGCCCATCAGCCCCTCCGTCCTCTGGGCTTCCAGGACCTCCGCTCCTGCTCTGTCCTTTCATTTGTTCCTGACATGTCAGCTTCCTCGTCTCCCCCAGGACAGGCATGCGGGTCAGGGCCAGTGAGGGAATCAGGGAATAAGGAAGTGAAAAGACCCACCCCAGCCTGGCCTTCTCTCCCTCCCAGGCCAAGCACCACACAGTGAGATAAAGAGGCTGCCTTGGGCCCCAAACCTGTTCTCTCTGACTCTGCAGAAAACCCAAGATTTCCAAGGGTCATCCTGCCAGACTCCTGAGCCCTGAATTTCAGCTATTCCCTGAGGCAGGAACAGCTCATGCCAGACCAGGGTGGGCAGTGAGGGGACTGCCGGGAGAGAGGGCCCAGGTCTCAAGGACGTCCAGGGCATGCTGAGACAGGTACTACTTGAAGACCCACTCTGAGCACACTGGGCCACAATCCCCGTGGGATGCAGGCAGGGTCTTCAGTTTCCCCGTTTGGCAAAGGACTGGCCGGTGCGGGCGCTGCCTGTCGGCACAGACGCTGTGTGCGCAGGGGTCGGCGCGTGTGTCAGGCCATGCGGCGCCCGAGTCGGGGACGGGCGGGGGAGTCTCTCACTGCGCCAGCCCTGAGTGGTTCTGACCAGAAATGAGGCAGTGGAGGGCCCTGGCTGTCCCTGTCCCCCGGCTTGACCTGAGGAGCCCAAAGTTGTGGGTATGACCACGGGCAGCCCTGACCACAGGGCCAGCTGGGCCCAGCCTCATTCCCCGGCACTCAGCACCCTCTCCCCAACAGCCCATCAGTGTGCCTGCCTGCCAGCCCATCCCACTGGTGTCCCAGGGAGGACAGGGCAGTAGTCACCTTCCTCCTTCCCGGCTGTAGGGTCACTGCTTTTCCAGGAAGCAGTGCTGCTGCCATGCTGCTGGGCTGAAAGGCGTCCATGCTGGTGGTGGGCCCACGAGCTGACACGCCAGTCGGCTGTGCCTGGGCTGCCCAGGAGAGCTGGCAGCACCAGCTGCAGGCAGGGCTCTCCATGGCAGGGGAGCAAGGACTCAAGGCTGGGAAGGGATGCTATTTTGTCCCTTGCAGGCATGCCACACACTCCTGAAATCATGTCCTTCTCAATGACCTTCAAAGGTGATAGACAAGAAGCTATGTTCCTTCTCAGCACTGCGCCACAGTTCCAACCTTGAACTCAGGCCCTTTACCCAAGCCAGGCCTTTTCCCAGGAATGCCCTTACCCTCCTTCAAAAGGGCAAAGCCTCTCTCTATAGATATCTGCCTAGGAGTTCCCTTCCTGGTCCCAACCCTAGGATTGACCCACACTGCCTGCAGTGCCCACCTTTGGTGCCTCCATCACAAATGGTTCCCAGGCCAGTGTCCCAGTGGGCTCATCTGTCTACCCCACTCATGGCTCCTCCAGACCAGAAGCTATCAGGCCTGACTTAGTGCTGTCCACTACCTTTCCATGTCCCCAGCCAGGTGCCCTATGGACAGAGTGATCAGGAGCAGTCCTCTTACCTCCAAGATGAGGAGGCTGGCACCCAGCAGTTCTGGGCACAGAGGAGATGCCTGGCCCGTGTGGCCAGACTGGAATCCACTGCACCATCAATAGGGTATGGCCCCCCTGTATAGATAGCACACACACAGCAGGTCCACATGCAGACCTCTGAGGAATGGACAGTGGTATCCACACAGCCACACACACAACCTCCACTGACACCAGCCAGGGGATATGGGGGATCCTGGAGTCTGCAGGGTCAGAGCTAGGACAAGAGATCAAGGGGGCAATGTCTGGATATAAAACCTCCCATCCCCCTTCCTAGTCTCGGCCCATGACCCTACACACATGGCCATGGCAAGGGCGGGGAATCTATAGCCACAGCCCTGGCCAACCAAGACCCTTGGATGCCAGGGAAACCATGCCTTGATTAGCAGGCAGCTCCTCCAATGGCCCCTGCAGACAGGCAGCAGGTGCTCTGGTGCCTATAATACTTAGAGTAGATGAAGATGGGCCACCTGCTAGACTGTGCCTAGGGCCAGCACCACAGTATGCCAGCATTGTGTGCCACCTAAACCACTGGCCAGGGGCCTGGCCAGGGTATAGGTGGAGGAGGGAGGAGAGGCCATTGGTCCCAGGGCTTCATTGCAACACTAGGGCCTGTAGGAGACAAAACCATGCCCTGGGAGTCTGATGGAGGAAACAGTCCTGCCCTGGGGAGTCTGATGGAGGAAACAGTCCTGCCCTGGGGAGTGCGATGGGGGGAGGAGGTAGCTCTGCCTGGGGAATCTAGAAGGAGGGCTGTGAAGGCCAAGCCAGGCTGGAAGAGCCAGCTGGTCAGGACAGGTGGCCTCCCTGGCCTGAGGGTCTGACCCAGCCATAGCGCCCACTGCCTGCCTCTCTGCCAAGCCAGCAACAGACGGCTCTCTCAGAAAACAGTCCTCTTGGCCGAGCTGCGCTGGCAGTGGGCCAGGGCAGGAAGGCCAAGCGTCCTCACTGGTGCGGAAGGTGGCTGGCCTGGGCCATGCACAGGCGGCTGGTGGGCAGGCGGCAGTCCTGTCTGGCCAGGCCTTGGCAGCCGCCTGCTAGGCACCAAACATGGATGACAACCACCATTGCCCATGCTCATCTCATGCTCACGTCCTCCCGGTTTCCCAACAGCCAGCACCCCTTGTGCCTTCTCGGGCTTGGCTCCTGCTAAGGAGAGTATGTTTGTCATCAGCACATGGGCTGTGTATGCAGGTCCACAGGGGGTCCATGTGTGTGAGCTTGGAGCGGGTGGTTACCCAAGCTCCTGCCCAGTTTGAACAAAATGGCCCTAAAATATCAGGTAACAGGGTGAAGAGTGTGAGGGGAGTTGACCTTAGACATTAAGGACACTTGTTTCCTCCCACCGGGGGTGTCTTTTCACACTCAGCCTCTCCTCTGGGCTACAGAGTTGGAGACAGGAAGGGGCCCACCTATGGGTGGAGCTGGCCCTACCCCCGGGAGGCCAGGCTTCCTGTGTACTTCACACCCTCAGAGGAGACATCACCATCCTGATTGTACAAGTGGGGAAATCAAGACCCTGACTTAAAGCCTCTGAGGCTGCATGATTTAGCCAGACACCCTTGCCTCATCCATGAGACAGGAGTGACCCCTGGGAGTCCTCATGGGGCCACCAGGACAAGCGTGTAGGCTTCAGACTTTGAGGATCTCAGAGCTCACACGTGTCCAGCTCAGAATTTGAACCCAGGACCTTTTGTTCAGGCCCTGCCCTCAATGACTAGATAGTACTGCCTCCTTGTTGCTTAACCCAGGAGGTGGGTCACTAATGGTAGACATCCAAGCACTGTATGTGCCAAAGCGGACAGGGGCCTTCCCATCCCCAGCTCTGCATCACATGAAGCATAGCAATCACAGCTGTGTTTTCCTGTGTTTTCACATGTGTGACCTTGCCTGCCGCCATCCCACGCTCCTCTCTACCAAGAAAGGGGCATGGCCTGGCCCTCAAAGGAGGGCTGGGAGGAGTCCTGCCCGTGTGCATATCAGACGTTGGGGGCAGGGAAGCGTACAGATTCCTGAGCCTCACCTGTAGTCTGCAGGGGGCTGGGAGTCCTGTATGATGTGTCCCTTTGTTCCTAATGCCACCAACATCTGATGTTCTGCTGAGACTGCAAAACAGCAGGACAAATAGAGAAATGGAGCCATTGGAGCAGCTGGAAAAGTGGCCCCAGTGAATGCCAGGGCCCTGCAGCACCGCCCCAGGTGCAGGCAAGACCCACAGCCTGTGAGGGAGGCCCAGGGCTCCTGGAGGCCTGAAAGTGACCGGCTCCCACCCATGCCCTTTCCCGTCCTTGCAGAAGGTTTGCCTAAAAAGTGGACGAGTGAAACCCAGGTTGTAATCTGCAGTCCTCCCACCACACCCGCCTGTTTTCATTACGGAGGGAAAGAGCATCAGAGCTGTGTTTATAACCCCCTTTTAGATAACAAATCACATTTTCTTTTCGCCAGCGAGTGTGTTGAATTGATATTTTTTTCCCCTCAGTTTAATGGGTTTGTGTGTTCAGGAATGATCTTCATCAACCGAAACTCCTTATTGTGTTTGATGTAATGTCAGCTTTCATTACGCGCTTCGGTCAGAGCGGCGCAGGCAAAGCCGCGCACCCGGGAGCCTGGGCCCCTGCCCCAGCCCCAGCCCAGGCCCACCTGGGCTCCCGTCTCCCTGGACTGGTGGGGGGCGGGCAGAGCCAGGGTGTGTAGCTTCTCTTCTCCCTTCCCTAGCAGCACGTGCATGATGGAGTCTCGGGGCATTGTAAGAAAGCTCCAGACGCAGCAGGCGCCCCAGACTCTGGAAACTGTTAGGTCGCCTGTGGCCTTCCATTCCTCAGGAGGTTGTGGTCTTGCCTGGGCACAGTGCCAGGCATGCAGTCAGCGTTCCAGAATGCCTGGACTAAGCCTACATGTCCACCCAACGGCCTACACCCCCAAGCCCTGTGTGGGAGACAGCCTAAGACTGTTCCCTGAAATAATCCCACTGCTGACCACCCTAAACCACAGCCCCAGCACCTGGGCAGTCACCAAGGCCAGGACCCTCCCTGGAGTCATGAGGAACCTGGGGCTCAGAGAGGGGATGGTCTGGCATTGGGGGTCACATAACGAATGGGGTCACCCAGCCAATCCTTGGAAAGGGAGTGGCCCAGGTGGCTTCCACCCCTCCTGGAGCAAATGCTGGCCCTGTGCTTGCTGCCCTACAGCCAGGCCCTCAGGGGCAGACACGGTCACCGCTCTCATTAGCAGACCACAAAGAAACAGGCCCTGAGTGAGGGAGGACTACTGCGCCCCGCTACAGGTTTTCGCTGCACAAAACAGGGCTGAGGAGCACCTGGAGAGGGTGACATGGACAGCAGCTCTGTCCAGAGTCCTGGCCCTGGGGCGCATGGGGGTAGAGTGCTGCGGCCCCTCCTGAGCGGGTGGCACTTGCTGACACCAGGCTCACCTTCTGGCAGCCTCTGTCAGCCGCGCTCTGTTCTGATTAAAGATCATTAAACATGAAATTAGCCCGTTTGTGTTACGGGTCCCCAGGGCGGCCGGTGATTATGACGCACAGATGGCCAAGAACCCAGGCAGCGGGCAAGCAGGCGCGGGCCAGGATGGGCTGGGTGGGCGCGGGCGGGCGGGGGCGGGAGCAGGCGCGTGGGCCGGGCTTTGTTTCTCCTGCTCCTGTTGTGTAAACCCCCTCGCGTTTCACAACAAATCACAGATAATTAATAAGTACATGACCGTAATGAGTAGGCTTTTTAATAGAAGAAATTGGAAGATGCGGCGGCAAGTCATTATTTCACTCTTGCCCAGAGTTGGCTCTATTTTTCCATCTTCCTCACTCCACAGTACCGCCTCTGCCAGCCTCTCTGCAGACACGCTGCCTCTGACCCTGCCTCCAGCGGGGCTGCAGTGCAGGGACCCCCAGGGGATCCTGACCCAGGGGTACCGCACCCTCTTGGAGCCCTGAGGGGCCCCTGAGGATGCCTGGCTGGAGGTGGGGGCAGGGCATGCCCAGCACTGACTCATCCAGCCCTTCTAGGAAGGTGGCTCTGTATGGGGGAGGGGCAGTCTGTGCCCCAGAGGAGTCTGAAGGGCCCAACCCAAGCCCTGGAGCTGGGGCCCTGTCTGCTCTCAGAGGTCCCTGAGCTGTGAGTGCTGAGGCCTCTCTTCCCCCTAGGAGGAAGACATCCTGTACTATGATGCCAAGGCTGACGCCGAGCTGGTGAGTGCCCCACCTTTGCTGCGGTGGGGGGAGTGGCCAGGGCCACACCCCTGCACTGGGCCGTGGTGTTTAATGTCTATCAAATGTTTGTTAGGACTCAGAACTAGGCAGTCTGAGCTCAACCCTGGAAAGCAGTGGTGACACAGGCCCCACCTTCCACTTCCCACAACTACCTAGAGGTCCTAACCCCGCTAGTGCTGTCTCTGTGGCCACTAATGGGCTGGGCTTCACTGCAGTGGGGCAGACTAGTCCGGCACTTGGACCTCCCCCGGCAGGGCAGTTCAGGTCCCAGCATTGAGAGGGACCCTTGGAGTGTGATGAGAGTAGGGGGCAGGGGGGCAGCTGGGGAGAGCTTCTTGGAGGTGGGCAGGTGCGAGCAGGTTGCGGTGACATCAGGTGCATTTCCAAGTCAGTGCAGGCTCCCTCCCCTATGCAGAATACCCACAGCCTGACCCCATGATGGGAGCTTGGCCCTGAGCTCAGCTGGAGTCACCTACCTCAGAAGTGGTGGCACTCAGACTGACCAGAGAGCCCAAGGCCATGCTGCTCTTTTGCCTCCATGTCACTCACTGGCTCCAGTCTGCTTGGGCTGCCCTGTGAGGTAGTGAGGTCCCCATCACCAGAGAACTCATATGAAAGATGTACAGCCATTTGTGGGGGAGGTAGCTACAGAGAAGACAACAGTGTCTGAGGCTGTAGGGCACTTGGAGTAGACAGTGTTTGGTGAACTTGTCAAGGCCCAAGTCCCTCTGCCTGACTTCAAGGCAAACGTAGTTAGACATGACTGTCCCCTCTATAAAGAGTTGTCACAGCAGCACAGTCTCTGGGGTCCTGCTCCTGGCTGGTGCAGAAGACCCAAGATCCAGTCTTCGTCTCCCAGCCCATGGCCCTCGGGTGGGGGTGGGAGGTTCCTGGGGTGAGCAGGAGATGGGAAGGCTGGAAAGGATCCCCATGCGGACTGCAGGCTGGCCTGGGAGAGCCTGGGGGAGGGCAGAGGGCCTGAGAAGGAGGGGTGGGCTCAGGCAGGTGTGCTTCCCCTTGGCTGAGCTCCATGGCTCCCAGAGAAGTTGCTAAAATTAAAGCTGGAATCTGAAATTCAAATGAAGAGCGAACCTTTAATTAGACCCTGAATCTAATTCCTTACCCCCCTTGGCAGCGGGCTATAATTTTAGCAATCAGTGCATTAAATATAAACCAGGAGACTGCGGTTGCCCACCATACAAAGCCCCAGGGCTCAGGGGTGACACTGAGGGGCTCCTTGGCCAGCCTGGTGCCCAGCCCCCTACCAGGACACTCTGAACCTCCTGCCCCCAGCAGCCTTCAACTACATCCCGGACTCCAACCCCTGGCTCTAAATCATTGACTCCCTGCCCTCAGCCCCCTGGACATCTGCTCGGGGGCTAGGGACTGCCCAGCAAGGGAGATTCACTCCGGGCCAGGCTGGGCTAGTCGTTTAGGCCACAAGCCCAGCCTGGCCTGGCCCGGTATAAATAACAGCACCCACGCATTTGCCGACTCCCCTGCATGTTGTGTTGTTTTGTTTTTTTAATCTTTGCCAGAGGTACAGTTAGAGATCTTTCTAGACCATTTACTTTTAAATTACCAGCCAGAAGGTGGGGGTGGGGGAAAGAGAAGGAAGGAAAAGTTCGCCAGCTGATAGCTTATCAGAACAGAATCCAAATGTCACATTAGTTGGGAAAGTTGGGAGATTAAATTTTCTAGCGCCCTTCATCTGCTGCTGACATTTCGGGGGCTTTCTTCTCCTGCGCTTTCCCCTCCTCTGAGCGGAACGTGAGTAGCCCACGCCTCACGGGCAGCCGCTCCCCGCTCCGGCCTCCATGCTCAGCGGATGCCTGCGCTGGCTCTGTCCAGCACTCAGGGGCTCCTGAGGGTCCTCCTCGCATGTGCCAGAGGGGGCGGTGGGAGGGCAGCAGACGGCTTGGATCCTGCTGTGCCAAGTCCACCCCAAGGGAGATGGATAGGGGCTTGCTGCAGGCCCTTCAGAGCCGTGCCCATCGGGCGTGGAGAGCTTGTCTGGCTGGCACAGTCACACTTTCCCTAGACGGGACCCAGCCTGGGCAGATACCTACAGGCAGGAACACAGGGGAAGGGCACGCCCAGGACCCAGCGGGTAGCGGGTCAGTGTCACGTGAGGCCCACAGCAGAGAGGAAATGAGCTAAGCCTGGGCTGAAGGTGGTCACAGTATCCTTGAGGGGCAGTGCAAGAGCACATGGAGGACTCAGCGGCAGCATATGCTCCCTCCTACTAGGGCTTTGGTCCCCAACCCAGGTGATCCGTTACCTGTCTGTGGCCTGGCCATGCATAACCACCTGAGCTCCGCACCACGCCCCCCTCCCATAACACCCAACCCCCCCCTTCCCCAGTCAATGGAAATTGTCTTCCATAAAACTGGCCTCTGGTGCCAAAAAGGTTAGGGACTACTGTACTAGGGCAGGAAGCCCCCAGCTCTGCTCCGCACCATCTCTGCTCGCTTTTCATCTCTCCCTTGCTGCCCCAGTCTGGCTTTTCCTCTTTGCCTTCACTCTCTACCACCAGCTTCCCTCCCCCTGGCACACCTGCACCCAAGCCTCCCTGCCCCCAGCCCTGGCTGCGGCATCAGCACTGTAGTCACAGACCCACTCCTGCCAGCCTGCGGTGGTAGGCGGGGGTGCTCAGCGCATGCCCAGCCTGCCTGGCCGCAAGATGCCATAATTGGCACCTGTCAGGCGGCTGCGGCTCATTTTAGAAAATCAGCAGGGGCCCCTACAGTCCTGCTGTTAGCAGGCGCTGCAGTCCCTCCCTCTGGAGGTCAGCAGGTCTCAGCACTAGCCCCCACCCAGCCCAGCTCTCCTCAGCTTAGCACCCCCAGCTCAGAATCTAGAGCTGCCCTGCTGCAGAGGGGGGGAGGGGTGGGGCCGAGAGCGGGTGTGGGGGCACAGAGCTCCTAGGAGGGGCTGCCAGGGCTTCCTGTGATCACAAAAGGCATGTCCTTGTAAGCAGAAGTCTGGAGCCTGTTCCTTCTAACTGGCTCCCAAGATTTGCCTCCTTCACTAATTGGTTTTCAAGGTGTAGGGAAGGGGTTAATTTGGTTTTGGTTTTAGAATTTGGGTTTAGCAAATGTGGGAATGGTGAGTAGGGTGGGCAGGGTGGCAGTCCTTGCCTCTCGGGTGAGGGGTCCATACCGCATGTCTCTCCATCTATGTCTCTGACCACAGTAGTCTCTTTTTTCGAGATGCCGCCATCTTCTGGACTCTGGCCCTCCCTGCCCTGCTCACAGGCCTGCCCAACCCCACTCACTTTTATCTAGTCCTGACACTGCTTGGGCGGGGGGCCTTTCTGCAGGACGACCCTGAAAGTGAGGATGTGGAAAGGGGGTCTAAGGCCAGCACCCTAACGCTGGACTTCATCGAGGACCCAAACTTCAAGAACAAGGTCAACTATTCATACACGGCTGTGCAGATCCCCACGGACATCTACAAAGGCTGTGAGTGTGCAGAGGGATCGGGACAGCCCTCCCCACCTGCCACGGGGGCCATTCCACTGCCAGGGCATGCCCAGGTCCCTGGGGACAGAAGGCCAGTGCTGACTCCAGCCCCACACTCACCTCTCATACTCGCCCACGTGCAGACTTCAAGCCACTCACAGGCAGAGCCTCACACTAACTCTCAGCGGGGTACATGGGGTTACAGAACACTGAGCCTCTCATCCCCGCGCACGCATGGTCTCCTGCCCGTGTGTCCACACATGCCCACACAAATGCAGGCACCCACACACCGTTCCCCACATGCTGGGCCAAGTCCCCATTTGCCCACGAAGCAGCTCCTCACATCCTCCCCCATTCCCTGGCCCCATAAAGGAGTGGTTGAGAAGCTGCCACGCATCAGGTGGACACAGGGGCTGGGGGAGAGGGCGTCACTCCTCACTCATGGACACCACCATTTTACACAGGCCTCCTTCTCCTTGGCACAGAGCCAAGGGGGTGGGGAGCTGGGGATGTGGGAAAGGTGGATTGGGATAAGGGTGGTTGAGATTCTAAACTCTAGGCAGCTTTGGTCAATGGGGAAACGGGCCACTATAACTAGAAGGATTTGAGTCAGATCTGAGGAAGAACTTCCTGAAGATCTTGGGAGGTACAGGGGGAGGAGGCCAGGAGTCAAACACTGGACGGGGAGCTCTAGCAGCAGGATTTAAGGCACTGAGGCCTGTTGTTTCTAACACAATTCTGTGGGCACTTATAGGGTACCTCAGAATCCAAGGGCCCACTGGGCCACCACACAGGCTCCAGCATACAGGGAGGACCTCTCCATCCTCAGGGTCAGCTAGGCTTTCTGGGCAGCCTAGGCAGGGGTGGGGAGGGTGCTCCCCCTGCGCCCCCACGGGCTGCCCGTAGGCCACCTGCCCGAGCCAGTCGAGGGGCACTATCACAGGCAGGCACGCTAATTAAAACAGGAGCCACACCACCCTCTCCAGTCACCCCTCGCTACCCACACAAATTACATTTTATATGTTTTTTATTTACTGTGTCACTTTTAATTAAATCTGTAATCGCCTGCCTGAGGGGGCATGATCCCCTTTCCCAGCTCAGCGTGATCTGAGAGTATGTGCACATGGGTGTGGGCGTGTGTGCACGGGGCTGGGTAGCAAGCCCTTTGCAAGAGGGTGGAAGGCTGTTTGCACAAGTGTGTCTTGCAGTGAATGCGTGTGTGCCTGTGGGCGTGGATCGCTGCAGGGACAGCTGGCTCAGATCAGGGGTCTCCTCTTGACTCTTGACCTGAGCCAGAGACACCCCTCTGCAGGCAAAGGGGCTTCCAGGACAGTCCGCTCAAGCCTGTCCCTGTGCAGATGGAAAACTGAGGCTGAGTGAGGGGTGGGACCTGCCAGGCAGATCCTCCCAGGGCAGACAGTGAAACATTTGAGGGCCTAACTTTATTTTTTCTTAAAGAGAAAAATAGAAATTGTTCAACTCACTAAGTTTCTAAATTAGGAACAGGACCGTAACATACTGTTCAATAAGCAGAGCCAATGCTAGAAATGTGTTTTGTTTTCACATTATGGTCAGTTAAGGGAAGCCACAGGAACAGAGAGAGGGAAAGAGATCAGAGATGGGGTGGTATTAGCACCAGACAAAGCCCCACACTGGAGGGCAGGGCCGAGGGGAGAGGGCCCCAGAGTGTGCCAGCACCCCCAGGCCTGAGGCAGAGCTCTCTTTCAGCCTCTGGAAGGCGCTCTCTGTCCTCACTTGGGCGATCTTTGATAGGGATGCCTACAGGGGAGTGATGGTGGCAGAACTCCTCCTGGGCGGTGGGTAGAGGAAACTGGAGGGAAGAAGTCATGGCCCTGTGGGCGGGGAAGGGACAGAGGCCTGGCAGAAGCAGGTGTCCCACTCCTGCTGTTTTTTCTGAGTGTCCAGGGACAGATACACTGCACACATGAGAACATGTGCCCCACACACACCGGGCATATTTCAGGCTGCTCTGAGTGGGAGTCAGGGGTACTGCTCAAGCCATCCTGAGTCTCTGCCCAGCTGAAGGGTCCACAGGATGGAGTCGTACATCTGAGAGGAGCCTTGCTCCGTGAATGTGTGTAGGGACAGGCCCGGTCATGGGGTCATGCCTGTGCAACCACTGGGTGGGAGGAAAGGAGGGTGGTGGTGACTGAGGGTAGGGAGTTGTGAGCAGGACTCACTAGTGTCCTCTCTAGGTGCAGAGTGGAGTGTAGATATGAGTGCGTGCACTTGTGCCCACGGCAGAAGTTGGGTTACTGGGCAGGTGGGTTTGGGAATGAGGGGATCACATATCTGGCTGGAAACACAGAGGTTAGAGGCAGGTCTACCTGTTAGGGGTGCAGCATGTGTGTGCGAGTGCTGTGCTGGAGCAGGATAATGGCACTGCCCCTGCCCTCTAAGAGCCCCTGCCCCCACCCCTGCCTGCTCCTGGCCCCAGTTGATTAATCATGGAGCTGAGTGGCTTCCAGCTTATCAGGTACCTTAATAGCTGAATAATTCCAGCCCCATCAGCGGGCCCTTAATTGCTTTCTTGTGGCTGCAGCCTGGAGTGCATGCTGAGTGGGTGAGCTCCCGCGGGACCAGCTGCTAGCTCCAAGAAGCATGCTGGATGCGGGGCCCCAGCTCACAGGTCACAGCCACCTGGGCAGCCCCCAGGGGCCACGGGCCACAGCTGCCCTGCCTGCTCCTGCAGGGCCTGGCTGAGGGGCAGGCCGAGCTGTTCCTTCAACAATGTGGGGGGCGGGGGGTGAAGACCAGGAAGTCTTTCTGAAGGAGCTGGTGCAGCCCCAGCTGGGCCTGGCGCTATAGGGAGTGTGGCTAGGCAGAGAGCAGGTGAGGCATTCTAAGTGGGGGCGGGGGGTCGCAGGCGTGAGTGTTGTGGTGGTGGGTTCAGCAGGGGACAACCCAGGCGCTTCCCACCCCAGCTTCCTCCTTCCCCACAGCCACTGTCATCCTCAATGAGCTCAACTGGACAGAAGCCCTGGAGAACGTGTTCATCGAAAATCGCAGGCAAGATCCCACGCTGCTGTGGCAGGTCTTTGGCAGTGCCACAGGAGTCACCCGCTACTATCCAGGTAGGTGGCAGCCCTTCTCCCCTATCTACCCAGCACCCCACCTTCCTCCATCCCCCAGCCCACCCATCCTGGAGTGCTTGTGTGGGATGGCCACCCTGCAAGGCCTGCCTACCCGGATCGGGCCCATCCCTGCCAGTCCCTTTTACCTTCTCTCTTACCACAGCCGCCCCGTGGCGAGCCCCCAAGAAGATCGACCTGTATGACGTCCGAAGGAGACCCTGGTGAGAAAGCAAGGAGGGGCTGGGCAGGAAAACCCCCCCATCTCCCCACCTCTCCTGCCCGTTCCCCTCCCTCCCAATATCCAGGCCTCCGAGCAGGGTGCAGCCAGCTCTATCCAATTTTCATTTCACACATCGTTGCCACTGGAAAATGGATCCCATCACCCAGGCAGGCCTCCCAGCTGCCTCTGCCCCCAGTCCACTGTCCGGCACCCCCGCCCCCTCAGGACTGAGAGATTGGACCCATAGGGGTTCCTAAGGGTGGATGTAGCTTCTATAGGGCCGGCCAGCCCCTGCCCCGGCCATCTGAGCCCTCCACGCCCCTGCCCTCTGCTCTGCCCTCCCAAGTATCCTGCAACTTTCCTTCCCTTCCACCTGTGCTTCTCATACACAGCTGGACTCTGCCCTTGGGGCCTCAACTGAGGCAGGGGGCACAACAAGCCACAGTATGCCTCCTGCCCCTGTCTGGATTGCCTTACTTGCTGAGGGGTCAGATCACTCATGTCATGGGCAGGGACTGTGTCTATTTTAATAAACATGGTATCCTGGTACCTAGAACCCTGTCTGGCCCAGCAGTGAATGCTCAACAGAAACGTGCTGAATGGATATGTGGGTGAGGAAGGAAGGGCCCACAAGGTCCCAGTGGGGCTGGCCCTAACTGAGGCTTCTCCTGGGCAGGTATATCCAGGGGGCCTCGTCACCCAAGGACATGGTCATCATCGTGGATGTGTGAGTGAGCATGCAGGCAGGCGGGTGGGGTGGGAGTGGGGGGCAAGGGGCTAGACTCTGGCCCAGGAATGTCGTGTGGGAAGGGCAGGAGAACACCTGAGGCCTCCACGGCCCTTGCCTGACCTCTCCAGGAGCGGCAGTGTAAGTGGCCTGACCCTGAAGCTGATGAAGACGTCCGTCTGCGAGATGCTAGACACGCTCTCTGATGACGACTATGTGAACGTGGCCTCGGTGAGTGCCAGGGCAGGCAGGGAATTGGTCACCCTCACCTGCCCTGCTCCTGTGACCACTGCCAGCCCGTGCAACAGCTGCCTGCCCAGGCCAGCCTGAGGCCACTCACCCCCCTCCGCCACCCCACTGTTCCCTCAGTTCAACGAGAAGGCGCAGCCTGTGTCATGCTTCACACACCTGGTACAGGCCAATGTGCGTAACAAGAAGGTGTTCAAGGAAGCTGTGCAGGGCATGGTGGCCAAGGGCACCACAGGCTACAAGGCCGGCTTTGAGTATGCCTTTGACCAGCTGCAGAACGTGAGCCCCCTGGGTGGACAAACGGGAAGCTGGGGTGGGCAAGGGCCCGGGCTCGGTGACACCCGGGAAATCAAGACGGATGGCCTTGTTAGTAGGCAGCTTGGACAGGTAGCACCATCTGCTGTGGGGGAGGAAGGCCAGAGGGCCAGGCCCACCAGGGGGAGGGTGGCCCGTCCCCTGGACCAGGGAGGGGCTGAGAGCCGGCTGACTCCACGCTCACCCGCCCAGTCCAACATCACTCGGGCCAACTGCAATAAGATGATCATGATGTTCACGGATGGCGGCGAGGACCGCGTGCAGGATGTTTTTGAGAAGTACAACTGGCCCAACCGGACGGTGAGGCTCAGCCCAGGCAGGGCTGCCCTGACCTGGGCCCAGGACAGGGGAGGGTGGTCCCCTGGTGGCCACAGCAGTAACCTCAAGTCCCCTCCCCCAGGTGCGCGTGTTCACTTTCTCCGTGGGGCAGCATAACTACGATGTCACACCCCTGCAGTGGATGGCCTGCGCCAACAAAGGTACCTGGCCTGACATCACTGCCAGGGGGCCTGCCTGCCATGTCCTGCTCTCCATTGGGTTTGTTGTCCAGCCGTTTGTTCACCGCCATGGACAGACAGTGCATCTTTTCATACAGGTGGCTGTCCATCGCTCTTTCTGTCTGGTGGGCTGTCTAACGTGTCCATCTGACTCAGCATCTTTCTGCCCATCTGTCTGTCCACTGTCCGGCCATCTCTTGTCTGCTCCTGCGTCTGTTTGCTGATCAGTCTGTCTCTCCCCGCAGCTGGGCCTGGCTGCTGGGTGGACTCTAAATTTCACTGCCATGAGGGACTGCAGGCCTCTGGCTCCTGCCGCCTGCTCTGCTTCCGTACACCCCTACGCTCACTCCCTTGCCCTGGTGTTGGTCCCACTGACAGCGCAATGGCAGGGGCACTAAAGGGATATGAGGTTGGGGGAGTGCCACCAAAGAGAGCGCCTGAGGGGCAAGTCAGGGCTATGGGTCCCGCAGTGCCAGCCAGGCCCATCGCTGCCTCCCCTTCCTTCACAGGTTACTATTTTGAGATCCCTTCTATCGGAGCCATCCGCATCAACACGCAGGTGAGACTGGGGTTGCCTCCTCCCAGCCCCTCGCCTCCCTGCGGGGACGCTGTGTGCAGTGGGCTGCTGTGGGCCGAGGGTGCCCCCTGGTGGCTGCTGGGGACACAGTCCCTACGCACAGGAGGCAGAAGGGGAAGAGCGCAAAGGGAGATGCTCAGGACCCCTGTCGCGCCTCCTCCCCGCCCCCCCCCCAGGAATATCTAGACGTGTTGGGCAGGCCCATGGTGCTGGCGGGCAAGGAGGCCAAGCAGGTGCAGTGGACCAACGTATATGAGGATGCACTGGTAAGGCCCCTGGGCGAGGAAGGGGTGGGGCTGGCAACCTTCCCCAGGGATGTGCCCACAGGGTCAAGACCCCTGAGGACCTCCTTTTGGGGTAAACCAAGCAGAAGTGAAAGAGAGGTGGCCCCTGCTCTGAACACTTGGAGTGGTGGCAGGGCCAGCCACAGAAGACCCCATCATCCTCCTCTCCTTTAGGGGCTGGGATTGGTGGTAACAGGGACCCTCCCTGTTTTCAACCTGACACAGGATGGCCCTGGGGAAAAGAAGGTGAGGTCCCCTGCTGGGGCAGGGTTGGGCGTGACCTGGGCACGTCTGGAGATAGAGGAGGGAGGGGCAGGCCTGCAAACCACCTGTGAGAGCAGCTTGAGGCCTTGGGTGTGGCAGCTGGGCAGAAAGTCCCCTTGGAATTGAGTCTATTACAGACCCCCATACCTCTGCCTCCCAGAACCAGCTGATCCTGGGCGTGATGGGCATCGATGTGGCTCTGAATGACATCAAGAGACTGACTCCCAACTACACAGTAAGTGTCCACCTGCCCATTGCCCTGCTCTGCCCCCCACATGGACATGAGCCGGGCTGGCTGCTGGGGATTACAGCACCTCCATGGAGACCTCTAAGTTCAGGGACTCAGGGAAGGGTTCCCCAGGAGGTGACCTTGGGCAAGCAAACTTTCTGTAAAGAGCCAGACTGAATATTTTGGGCTTTGCCAGCCTAAATACCCATCTCATGCTCAATTCTGCTGCTGTGTTGTGAAAGCAGCCACAGACAAAACATAAATAAATGGGCATGGCTATGTTCCAATACAATTTTATTTGTGGATACTGATATTTGAATTTCAGATAATTTCCACATGTCACGAAATATAATTCTTCCTTTGATGTTTTCCAGCCATTTAAAAACAAAAACCATTGTTAGCTGGCGGCCTTACGGTAGCAGGCGGCCGGCCTGACTTGGCCTGTGTGCGTAGGCAGTGCCCTGGGCAGAAAGGAGGGGAAGGCGTACACGGGAGGCAGAGGGGACTCTGGGCAAAGGCCTGGAGGTGAAAAACAGAATCAACCAGGAGAAGGGCAAGGTCGCAGTGTGGCTGGCCCAGGGCCTGTGGTTGAGTTGGGGTCTCGCCTGTGAAAGCGGGGAGAGGCGGGGCACTTGTGACAGTGTCATTAAGCCTGAGTGCCCTGAAGCCCTGCTTGGGCCTGAGAGGGCAGGGGCTGTGCCACTGGCCTCCGGACACGGTGAGAAAACTGCCTGCGAGAGGTGAGGGCTGGGGCCCAGCCCCTACTCCTACCCCACCTCCTAGTCTGCCTGCAAGGGCAGCCCAGGCCTTCGGGATTCCCACGGCTCTGCTCACCCCGTGTGCTGTGCTAACTGCGGATAAGGAGAGGCACAAATCAGAGGCAGCAGTCGGACACAGTGGTACAAGAGCAGCAGCCCTGTGGGGCCAGTAGAGGCGGAGAGGTCAGGCTGGCTGACAGCCCCATAAGAGCAGGGAGAGAGGCTGGAACCACACAGTGCCAGCCACAGAGCCAGTCAGCCCTAGCAAGGGCCGGTGCGTGTGGGGCACCCAGCCTGCTGGCCTGGCTTGAGAGACGGCTTAGGGCCATGTGGCATGTCGGGACCCTTGGCCCAGGCAGGCAAACAGCACCCCTCAGCATGGTGGCAGGCAGCATGGGGAAGGGCTCCAGAGCCAGGAATCCCTGCCCAGTCCTCCAGACCCTAAGCTCCCAATCTACCCCCAGCTTGGAGCCAACGGCTATGTGTTCGCCATTGACCTGAACGGCTATGTGTTGCTGCATCCCAATCTCAAGCCCCAGGTGAGCCAGGTGGGCGGCCTGGAGGGTGAGTAAACCCTCCAAGATGGGGACTTCTGACTTCCTGCCCTGCCTCCCACAGACCACCAACTTCCGGGAACCTGTGACTTTAGACTTCCTGGATGCGGAGCTGGAGGATGAGAACAAGGAAGAGGTAAGGAGAAGGCGGGGGAAGGGATGGGGGGCAGGCACAGAGAGCAGAGTGGGGGCCCTGCCCCTCACATCCCTGGCCCTTCCAGATCCGTCGGAGCATGATCGATGGCAACAAGGGCCACAAGCAGATCAGAACATTGGTCAAGTCCTTGGATGAGGTGAGAAGGCAGGAGATGGGGCCAGGGAGTCAGGGTAGGCACCCTCCTATCCACCCCCCACCCCTGCCTGCCAGCCCAAGTACCTGACCCAGCCCCCTCTCCCAGAGGTACATAGACGAGGTGATCCGGAACTACACCTGGGTGCCTATCAGGAGCACCAACTACAGGTGAGTGGGGCGAGGGTTGGGGACAGCCCCAGAGTCTGAGCCCAGTGGCCTCTCCCTCTCCCACCCCAGCCTGCTGTGACCACTGCCCCAGTGGGGTGCCAATGCCAGGGCTCCTCACTACTTTCTGGGGAAGCAGCAGGTCCTGAGAGCACAAGACAGAGACAGGATGGACAGAATGGTCACAGCCAGGGCTGGGCCCCCTTGTGGGCCGGGCTGGATCGGGGCAGGTTGTCCATTCTGAAATGCCAGGGGCATCCTCACACCCCAGGACTAGCCCACAGCTGCCCCTCACCATATGAGTGTTGGCCCTGCTTTTAGCTGGCTCTCACATGGCCTGAGTCTCTGGGGACACTGGACCCTGCCCGGCAGCACCTGCCCCAGCAGCTAGCTCACTGACAGTGCTCTGCCCCTTGTGAGTTTGCCACTAAGCAGACAGAGGAGGCTGACCAGGCGGTGGGGTGTTGTGGGAAGCTGCTGGGGGTGGGAGGTGGGGCGGGGATTTGCTTTGGGGCTGGGGGTTCAGAGGCCTCCAGGGAGTTTGGGGGAGTGGAGGGCTGCCCCATAGGCCATGCATCTCCCACAGTTAAGCAGGGAGAGGGGTCTCTGGTGGTGGGAGGAGGAGATGCCACAGCTTGGGCCTCTCTGCCCAACTCCAAGGCCATGGGGAGGGGGTGCCAGTGTGGCCTCCCTCTCCCTAGCAGTGACTGTGCTCCCCACTTCCGCTCCCCAGCCTAGGGCTGGTGCTCCCGCCCTATAGCACCTTCTACCTCCAAGCCAACCTCAGCGACCAGATCCTGCAGGTCAAGTGTAAGTGGCCCGGCCCCTGCCTGCGTCCTGCACCCCTGCCTCCGCCCCGCACCCTGGCCGGCCCCAGGCAGCATAGCCAGTTGTGCTTGTGGGCAAGGCGCCCCTCCCACCCAGTCTGCCCACCCCTCAGGTGCCCAGGCTGGGGCACCGGCCTTCAAAAGTCTGTGGAAATCTGCATGCTCGCCTTTTCTCAGATTTGGTTCCAGACCATCCTCTCATGGTTTCCGTTGAGGTTTCTGTTTTTGATTTCTCCTACTCCGTGTCTTCCCTCCTTAGCCTGCCTGCCCCACACACCCCTGGGGGCTACATTCTTGGAAGACACCCCCTCCCCTCATCTCCTTCACCCTTCTCCCTGCTCAGCTCTGTCCCCTGTGGTACCACCCCCCAGGGTCCCTCTCCCTCCCTCCCCTCTTCCCTTTACCCAGGTCCCACTCAGTCGCTCACTTTCCTCTTCCTGCCTCTCTGCCCTCCTTCCTCTCTTCACCCCTTCTCCCTCCTGCTCTTTCCTCTCCCCTGCACCTCCTCCAGCTCCCTCCCTGCCTTACCTCTCCTTTCTGCTCACTCCCTCTATTTCTTTCTCCCACTCCTCCTCCTTCCCTCCCTCTCTCCCCTACCCCTGCAACCCTCCCTTCCCTCTTTCCCTTTAGTCTCTCCCCTTGGTCTCACACCCTCTCTCTCCTCCTCACTCCCTCTGGTGTGCACCCTGGCCCCCATCCCTGCATCCCTCTGCTCCTTCTCTCCTTCACCCCTGCATCCCCTTCCTCTCTCTCTCTCTCTCTCTCTCTCTCTCTCTCTCTCTCTCTGCCCCCGTCTGCCCTTCCTTCCCTCTCCCAGTCCTCTGCCTGTGGCTCACCCCTGCATGCCCTGCTCACCCTGGGCCTCTTCAGAGAGGCCTGGGTCTCCAGAGCCTGTGGCCCCGCCTGCCCACAGCACCCAAGGTCACTGGGAGGGAGGCTGGGGCTCCGGCCCCACCGGGCGCCCCCCACCTGCCTGGCCGACTGGGGCTCATCTCCTTTGAGTTTTCTTGCTCTCTCTTTCTCTCTCATGTCGTTTTTTGCAAGAAGTTTCCTTTCGGTATGATGATGAGACACAATATTTTCATTCAAACAGCCATTGAATAAAATATTGTTTGTGCCCCTCCCCTTCCCCTCCCCCTTTTCGTTTGTTTTTGTGTTTGTGTTGTTTTTGTTTTCCTCGCTTTCTCTCTTGGTGGACTGTCCCAGTGCCAATCAGCAAACTGAAGGGCAAGTATATTCAGAACCAGTGCACCCTCCTCTCCCCACCCCACCTGCCCTCACACCCCTGCTTGCCCCCCTCCCTGCCCAGGACCAGCCAAACCCCTGCTCTCCAGGGCTCCCCTGCCAGCATTCCCTGGGGCCTCTAGTTCTTGCCTTTCCTATGATCCCTAAACCTCTATTAGAGCCAGTGGCCCTTGCCCCCGGCCCTGCCTACAGGGTGTTCTCCGGCATGATTTGAGGCTCAGGCCCTTTCCTTGTACTCCTCACTCCCTCTGGGAAGGTCCCTGCCTCCCCACAACCTTCTCTGTCCCTCCAAGACAACTCAACAGTGGGGACAGGGCTGGACGCTCTCCACCACCTCCCACCCTACAGAGCAGGGAGCCTGAGATGCAAAGGGTAGATCAGCCCTTGGAGGGGCTTGTATGCACCTATGGGAAAGGCCCAGCACGCAGGGCTTCCTCTGATCTCCGGCAGTGGCTGCAGTAGCTGACAGCCCTCCAAAAAGGGAGACAGAAAAGTGTGGAAGCCTCACGCCCTGACCCTAGGGCCAAGCGGCAAAGGGGCAGCATATGGCAGGCAGCCAGGCCACTGGAAGAACAAGGCTAACGGGACCATCTTGAGCACTGGCCTAGGTGCTGAAGTACTGTCCTGCCACCACCCCCTCCCTCCCACCCCGCTGCTGCTCCCAAAGGCTTTGCTAAGGCCCATTGGCCCAGCCCTGCCCTGAGGTGGGTGGGCAGGCAGGTGTGGAAAAGGTGTTCCCCTGGGGAAATAAAGGCAGACGGGGTCTGTGGGCCTGGCCAGGGATGGAATGGGATCTGTCTAGACCCCAAGGGCCAGCAGTGGAACTTAGAGGAAATCAAGATGGGTATGAAGTAAAAGGTTCTGGCACTCTGAACTGCCTAAGCCAGAGAGACTTCCAGAAAGTGGGGCAGTGAACCCCCAACCCCTGACAGAGAACCAGGGAGTGAGAGAGGACAGCACACAAAGGTCTCTGCCTAGACAGACAGCCACCTCTCTCAGGGAGCACCTGGGCAGATGGGGTGTAGAGAGCCACAAGGGATGTCCGTGTGACATGGAAGCAAGGACTCCCAAGAAGCCCTAGGGGCCCTGTCCAGCAGAGTCCAGCAAAGTGGGGGTGGGGGACAGGCCCTACTCCCACTGGCTTGAGTTGTCTTTTTCTTCCCATCCCCCCACCCACATTTCCCCAGTGACCGCAGAAATGCAGGGCCCTGGTAACAGTGACAAACATAGCATAGTCTCCCTCCCTGCTCCTTCCCCCTCCTTTTTCTTTTTCCCCCTTCCCCTCCCCTCCACCCCTTCCCCATTGGCTTGTGTCCAAACCCTGCCTCACAGTCCTATCAGAAAGGAACAGTCCAACCAGTGACTGCCCAGCCCCTCCAAGCACCCGAAGTCCCCCGTCTGGAATCTTGCAGTGCATTGTGGGAGTACTTGGGAACAGAGAAAAATCTCTCTTCTATACAAGTAAAGCCCAAGGGGCAAAAGAGAGATCAGACCCTGGATGAAGACATGATAGGAAGATGAAGTGCCCAGAGTGAGAGTGATCAGGAGCAGAGGGACACCTCCCAGATGCACCCCTGCAAGGTGCCCAGTCTAGCAGCACAGGGACAGGCCACAGAGGAGCTCCAGGGCCACATCTTTAGGTTCACTCACAAACCCACACGAAGGCAGTCACATATACACAGGCTGTCACACACACATGCACACTCATGTATCCATGCTCGCACACACACAGGCATAGCTTATAAGTTCAGGGCATAGACCCAACTGATGGACCCCTCAACAGCACACCCATTCCCTCTGGAGGCCCCAGCATTCCTCCTGGCTGCTGTGAGTCCAGACAGGTCTTAGGAAGGGTGGAGAGCCAGTCCTCCTTTCCCACCTGCCCGTTGCGCCCCAGCCCAGGGAAGCAGGTCTGTGCAGGGGCCAACACCTGTCTCCAGACTCTCCTCCCACACTGTGAAAACAGTCCCAGGCACTTCGAGGGTCTCCCTTCGCCTAGTTTCCTGTCCCAGGGGACCACCAGACCCCCACAATGCACTGTGGTCCACCCCCAGCTGCCCGCACCTGTCTCTGGTTGGACTGTCTGTGCCCATGAGAAACCCCCTTGGTTTGGCCATGTTGATGCCTGACACAGAACAAAAGCAAGACCTACCAAAATGCAAACAGCTGCGGCAAAGAGAGATAAATCCGCAGCCAAGCCAATTCCCTTCCTCAAAGTCTCTTTGGAGGCGAAGGAAGCTCAGCATGTGGTTTTTCCATTATGGATGTGATAAGAGTGAGACTGGCGCCTCCCCCAGACCATGCATATATATAGCAGTGTGTGTATATATATGTGTGTGTGTGTGTCTGTGTATATGTGCTATACAGCCGTATGGAAGCATATACAGCCACGCCAAGGGACTCACTGCCGACAGAGGACCAGGCCCGGGCAACATATTGGCTATAACTGCCCTCCTCCTGCGATGCTGTAGTCACACAGGCCCTCCACCCCTCCCCACCCATCCCTTCTCTCTGGCTCGAACCTGAACGTGGAAGTGGCGGGTTCCCTCTTTGCTGGTGTCTCCCCCTCCCTCAAGCCACCCTCTCCCCTGTCCCTCCAGCCCCACAGCTCTGAGCCCCCTGGCCTCCAGCCTCCCCAGCCCCCGCCGGATAACCCCCCACCCCGTTTCTGTTGCAGATTTTGAGTTCCTGCTCCCCAGCAGCTTTGAGTCTGAAGGACATGTTTTCATTGCTCCCAGGTAGCTTGCGTGTGGCCTTGCTGAGGTGTCCTCCCTCACCCTGACTGCCCCAGCCCTGCCTCCTGCACTGCTGCCTGGAACTCTGTGTGTCTGTGTCCTGTGCAGTGTCGCCCCCAGCCCCCATACATAGCCCGGTATGCGCGGCTGTGTGCATACCCAGGCCATGTAGCCACACCAGGCAGCAGTGGCCAGTGCCCCACAGCCCCAGCTCCCAGCAGGCCTGGGGCAGGAGGGCTCTGGACTGTCTGCTGACCTTCCCTACCCTCCCAGGCAACCAGGAAGGAGCCCTTTCCACCCTGGGGTGGCTGTCCCCAGCATATCCCTTGCTGGGCAGCTGCTGCCCTGGTTTGTGGCATCCTTCCTATCCCCTCACCTCGCACCCCATCGTTGTCCTGTGTCAGTCAATGTTTGTGTGGGGCTGGGGGCTGAGCCAGCCAGAGCCCCTGTCGGCAGTGCTGAATCTAGGTGTGGTGGCTCAATTGAGGGGTGGGGAGAAGGGAGCTGCAGGGGCTTTGAGAAGCTGCTCTGGCAAGTGAGGGGTCAGGGCCCAGAGTAGGCCCAGGTCTGGACCATGCCTGGAGTGCACGCTCAGCATGCACACACTTCCTCGTGCACACTCCCTCTACCTTTGGCCCCAATCTGAGAAGGCCGGGGCCCTAGATGCTAAGGCCCTTTCTGTGACCTGGCCTCTGGATGCAGCTGACAGGGACCCATGGGCACTCTCAGGCACCACACGGGGGCTCTGGACACTCCTACTTCCGTCCGTGTGCACATCTGTGCATGCACCCACAATTTCTCTGTGACTCTTTCTGTGGATGTTTATACTTGTGAGTCATTGTATATGTATGTGAGAGGCCGAGTGTAAATGTGGGAGGGCCCTGTGCACTAGAGAGTGCTCTGTGGGAAGGTATGAAAAGTCCTGTGTAGCACACGTGACCCTGAGGAAGCTGAGGGCAGGGACCCTATTCATTTTCGTCACCTCTGTATCTTTGCCTTGCAAAAGCTCAATAAATGTGTATAGGGAGAGTGAATGAAGTACCCCGCAGATGCGAATGTATATGTTGTGTGTAAGGGAGAGGTTGCAAGTAACTTGGTGTATCTCAAGCCCAGTGGTATGGGTGTCACTCTAGGTGTGTCAGTTCTGGTCTCCAAGCACAGAGGCACAGGTTGTACACTGCATAAAGTCCCTGGGAGCCAGCGAGTAAATGGGGGCTAAGACCCAGTCCCAGGTGCCCTCACCAAGCTATGAGCCCTAACATGGCCTGGGGAAGTGGCACATTTTTTAAATTCCCACAGTTACTGCCATATGGGACCATGAGGGGGTCACTGGTGGCAGAGGTGTGTGAATGAGGGATTGGGCAAGGGAGGTGGCTCCATCTATCAGGGTAGAGGGACTGCTCACCAAGACTCCCTGGGTGGGGAGCATGGCGCAAGCAGGCCCCCTCATGTCCCACAGGCCCCATGTTCTCTGGACCCAGAACCTGAACCCAGTGAGGGTCTTGAGGAAGTGAGGGATTTGGCCTGCCCACCTCTGAGGGTGAAGCATTCCAGAATTCCCACGTTCCCACTGACTTCCCCACGCCTTCTTTGGTATGATGAAGAAAGTGAGTCTTAGAGAGCTAGAGTGTGTTGCCCAGAAGTACACACCCAGAAAGAGTGGGGTTGAGGTCTCAGACTCAGGCTGACAGAAGCCAGTGCTGGTACTCCAGTCCCACCTCATGCCCATGGGAATGCTGTCAGGCATACAGGTGGATGAGCTGGCCACCAGATGTTTCCTGGGGCCTCCCAGGTGCACCATCTGGGTCCAGCCACAGGAGAGATGGGAGGCTCTGCAGGGCTGCCCAGGAGAGAAACCCTGCCAGGGTGGAGGAAGCAGACCCTCATTCTCCTGTCTGCTCCAGCTCAGACCCAGGCAGCCTGTAAGAACACACATGCCTCTCCCCGAGACCTGGGCTTCTCAGCGAATGGCCAGGCAGGCCTATTGGGAAGCCTTGACCCCACTGCCCCATCCAGCCCCCCAAGCCCACTCTTCTTGCCCCTCCCCACCCCCAGAGAGTATTGCAAGGACCTGAATGCCTCAGACAACAACACCGAGTTCCTGAAAAACTTCATTGAGCTCATGGAGAAAGTGACTCCAGACTCCAAGCAGTGTGAGTGCCTGGCAGGGCAGCTGGATCTGGGCAGTGCCCAGGCAACAAGGGGGCAGCCCCAAGGAACCCAGAGACCGGGCAGATGTGGAAAATATGCAGACCCACGCCAAGGGCTGGGCCTGGGCCAGGTCATGGGCAAGGTTCCTGGTGGAGCTTAGGGGTGGGGGCGAGGGTGGGCAGAGAGCTCCAAGAAGATGCCCCCTCTACCCCTGCCTTCCTATTCCAGGCAACAACTTCCTTCTGCACAATCTGATCTTGGACACAGGCATCACACAGCAGCTGGTGGAGCGTGTGTGGCGGGACCAGGATCTCAACACGTAGGCACCACCCAAACTATGGGGGCAGGGGGTTTGGATGGCCCCAGAGACCTTGGCCCTGCCCACCAAAAGGCAGGCCTGTGACCCCACCTCCCTGCTGCCCCCAGGTACAGCCTGCTGGCTGTGTTTGCTGCCACAGACGGCGGCATCACCCGAGTCTTCCCCAACAAGTAAGTGACCTACTCCAGTACCCAACACCCTGCCCCTGCCTCTGTCCTGCTGCCCAGAGGCCTCCTTGCACCTGCTGAGACCACCATCTCCCACAACTATCCCTCACCCACACCCACTGACCTCTGCCTCTCTTGGGTGCTCCAGGGCAGCTGAGGACTGGACAGAGAACCCTGAGCCCTTCAATGCCAGCTTCTACCGCCGCAGTCTGGATAACTACGGTTATGTCTTCAAGCCCCCACACCAGGATAGTGAGTGTCCACCCAGGGTGCCCAGCAGCATGTGGGAAGCCTCAGCTTCCCTGTGTGCTCAGCCAGGGCTGTGCTGTGCTCTGTGAGGCCCCTCTCCAACACGAGACTTGCTGAGACCGGGGCAGGTGTGAAGAGATGGACAGGCTGTGCCAGACACTGCTGGGTGCTTAGACTGGAGTCAGCCCTGGGTTGGGCTCCTGGGTTTGTAAAGCCCAGCATGGAGGGGTCAGGATGGCTGCCAGCCCCAACTCCTAACTACTGCATCCCACCTCCAGCCCTGTTAAGGCCACTGGAGCTGGAGAACGACACAGTGGGCGTCCTCGTCAGCACAGCTGTGGAGCTCAGCCTAGGCGGGCGCACACTGAGACCAGCAGGTGAATGCCTGGGTTGGAAGTGGGGAAAGAGGCAGTAGGCAGGGTGCTGCCAGGCAGGTAGCACTGATGGCCCCTTGCTCTCCCCCAAAGTGGTGGGCGTCAAGCTGGACCTAGAAGCTTGGGCTGAGAAGTTCAAGGTGCTAGCCAGCAACCGTACCCACCAGGACCAGCCTCAGAAGGTATTTGGGTACTTTCTGGAGTCCCCAGGGACCCCTACCAAGCCTCCTACTCAGAGTGACGCCAGCACCTATGGGGAAGCCAGGGAAGCTGCAGATGGCCTGGGGACCCAGGTGTATGAAGGGTGATGGGAGGGAGGAAAACTGGTGGGCGGCTTATGGTCCTCATTCTCTGCCCAGCAGTGCGGCCCCAGCAGCCACTGTGAGATGGACTGTGAGGTTAACAATGAGGTGTGTGTGCCCTGAACCTACTCTGGACCCCACCTTACCCCACTCCCAGACTTCTTAGTCCCAACTGCAACTCCTAGCCCATCCCTTGGCCTGTGGGTCTCAACATCATCACCCTGACTTTACAGCCTTACGGGGACTGGGGGGAGTGGTGCCCCCCTGAACCACTGGACTGCCCGGGCCTGGGATGGTAGGTCAAGGGCTGAACCCCTCTCCATTTTCCTCTCCCTTCCCTACCTCTCAGGACCTACTCTGTGTCCTCATTGATGATGGGGGATTCCTGGTGCTGTCAAACCAGAACCATCAGTGGGACCAGGTGAGGGTCAGGAAGAGAGTGGAAGGGGGGAGAGATTTGAGCCTTCTGGGGATGTGGCACTGCCAGTCCTGTGACCATGGGTTCCCTCCCGACATCCCCAGGTGGGCAGGTTCTTCAGTGAGGTGGATGCAAACCTGATGCTGGCACTTTACAATAACTCCTTCTACACCCGCAAGGAGTCCTACGACTATCAGGCGGCCTGTGCCCCTCAGCCCCCTGGCAACCTGGGTGCTGCACCCCGGGGTGTCTTTGTGGTGAGTCCCCAGAGATGCCTGGCTGGGAGATGGAAGGACGGGGAGACCTGCCCACAGATGACGCTCCCACCTCTGACATTTGATAGAGCTGGGGGTTACCTAGGGCGAAGGGGCAGCAGTGGCAGCCCATGCCCCTCTCTCCACTGCAGCCCACCATTGCGGACTTCCTTAACCTGGCCTGGTGGACCTCTGCTGCCGCCTGGTGAGTCCTGAGTGGGCTGGGTAGAGAAGGTGCTCCCTGGCCGGAAGAGTTCAAAAGAGCAATGGAACAGGGCACTGGCCTCTACTGACCACTCCACTCGGCGCCCCGTGCCCTGCAGGTCCTTGTTCCAGCAGCTTCTCTACGGCCTCATCTACCACAGCTGGTTCCAAGCGGGTAGGTAGGACTTTGGAGGCCCGCCTTAAATCCCCGTCCCCAATCGGAGCAGAGACGACTCCAAGGGGAGGGCGGGGCTTGCGGCCGAGCGAGGCCTGTGGGCGGGGCTGAGGCGCTCTGGGCCCTCTCAGACCCCGCGGAGGCCGAGGGGAGCTCCGAGACGCGCGAGAGCAGCTGCGTCATGAAACAGACCCAGTACTACTTCGGCTCGGTAAACGCCTCCTACAACGCCATCATCGACTGCGGAAACTGCTCCAGGTGCTTGCGCTGGGCTGGGCTGGGCGGGGCTAGACGCTTCGGGAGGACGGAGGAGGCGGGGCATCCAGGTGGGCGGAGCGGAGGGGCGGGGCATCCAGGTGGGCGGAGCGGAGGGGCGGGGCATCCAGGTGGGCGGGCGGGAGGGGCGGGGCGAGGCCCAACGCCCCGCCTATCTGTGCTGCCTCCAGGCTGTTCCACGCGCAGAGACTGACCAACACCAACCTTCTCTTCGTGGTGGCCGAGAAGCCGCTGTGCAGCCAGTGTGAGGCTGGCCGGCTGCTACAGAAGGAGACGCACTGTATCCTGCCCCCGCCCCCGCCGCCCGCCCCCTCCCGCCCCGCGCGCCCCCTCGGTGCTGCCGCCGCCGCCTCCTTGACTCCCCACCCATGCCCAGCGGACGGCCCGGAGCAGTGCGAGCTGGTGCAGAGACCGCGATACCGGAGAGGCCCGCACATCTGCTTCGACTACAACGCGACGGTGAGGAGCGGGGCCGGCGGACCTGAACATCCCTCGGCCTTGTGCCCGCGACGCCCACCAGCTCCCTGTCTCTCCCCGCAGGAAGATACCTCAGACTGTGGCCGCGGAGCCTCCTTCCCGCCGTCGCTCGGTGTCCTGGTCTCCCTGCAACTGCTGCTCCTCCTGGGCCTGCCGCCCCGGCCGCAGCCTCAAGTCCACGCCCACGCCTCTCGCCGCCTCTGAGCGCCCCGCCCGCCCCGCCCGGCCTCCTCGCCTCTCTCCCGCCCTCCCGCCCGCACGCCCTGCCTTAGAGCCTCGTCCCTCCCTGGCTGAAGGACCTGAGCTCCCAGGCCCTGAGTCTGCACCTCGGGGAAGAGGAGGCCTAAGGAGGACGCCACAGGTCTTTGGCACTCAAGCCACGTTTCACCACTGAACTGCTCAAGTGTCCCCAAACCATTCATTCCCACTGGGCCCACCCAGGTAGCATAAGACAGGGAGGCCACATGTCCTGGTGCCAAACCAGGCCTCTGCTGCCTGCCCTGCCCGGAGGCTCCCTATGTATGGGAGACCCTGCCTCAGCTGGACCCCTCTAACCTGGCTCTTCTGTCCCGCCCAAACTTGGTTTCTGTGAGAATAATGGAGGGAGGTGAGTTGGGCAGTTTGAGGCCTGTGAATCCCAGTTTAAATCCTAGCAGGACAGAGGTCCTGGGGCAGCCCACAATTGGCACTTCTCAGGCCTCCAGCCCTGTCCCCCCGAAGCCCAGCAGGTGTAAGGACAGTCACAGTACAGATTTAGACACAACCCCATACATACATGGAACCCTGAGGTCAGAAACTGGACCCACATGAGACACAGGGCACATACACACACAGACATGCACACACCATAGGGTGGAGTAGGGGTGGGGGCACACAAAGCCTTACACAGAGCGAGGGGTTGGTGGAAAGGTTGGCACCTGCACACTCCGTCTGCTGCTTACCAGCCCCTTCTGATCTGAGCTGCAGCCCAGCTGGTCCTCCCATCTCTAAACTGAATGTCAAACAGTGCCAAATGCTGGGGTATGGGGTAAAGAATCTGTCCCACCCCTAACCACCAGTGTCCCCCAAGTGCCCCTCACCTTTCCAGGTGCTCATTATAACCATTTCTCATTAGTGTTGGCCCTGAGTGGGACCACATGCCACTGCCTGCACCCCTCAGCAGAGGAACCCCCACGAGACATTACCCTTTGCCTTAGCAGGGGTGACTTAGTCTCTCCTGGCTGGGCCATTCCACCCCCAATCTGGCCCTTAGATGCTCAGGCCTGTGCCCACTCCCTCTCTCCTCCCACACATCCACACACACTCCCTGCCCCCAGGAGGCCAAACTGTCCCTCCCCTGAACACACACACACACACACACACACACTGTGCACACAGAGGCGGGGCCTGGGCACAGCTTTTCACACCATTCATTCTGGTCATTTCCCCTGAAGGCATCCCAGTTTGGGGGCCAGTGGGGGAACTGAGGGCAAGGGGATGTAGCCATGGGGCTCAGATGGATTGGGAGAAGGGGGGAGGGTGATGCATTAATTAATGGCTCCGTTAATTAATGTCATGTTGCTTGTCGCTTTCTCAGTGTGTGTGTATGGTCCATGCCCGCCGCTGGTGCCAGGGTGGGTGTCCATGATGTGCGCCCAGCCTGGATACCATTGTGTCCTGTGGGGGCGTGTGTGTAACTGTAGTGTAGTCAGGTGCTCAATGGAGAATATAAAAATAAAAAAGAAACATATACAGAAAATAAATATATATTTTAAGTTTAAAAAACAGAAAAACAGACAAAACAATTCCCATCAGGTAGTTGTCCATCCCCCAGCTGGGTCGTATTCTTCTCATCACCCACCTGACCTGGCTGCCCCCTTCTTTGGGCTGGGGGACTGGGGGCCATTTCCTTTTCTCTGCCCTTTTTTTGTTGTTGTTCTATTTTGTACAGAAGTCGGAAAAACAACAGCGACAAAAAAGTCAAGAAACTTTGTAAAATATTGTGTGTGTGATTCCTTGTAAAATATTTTCAAATGGTTTATTACAGAAGATCAGTTATTAAATAATGTTCATATTTTCACTTCAAATGCTTCTCATCCACTGTATCAGCCTGGGGGTGAAGACTTGGTAGCTATAAAGTCAGGTGGCCAGAACCTTAGAGTCCCATTTGTGTCTTGCCAGTAAAGGCCTTAGCAACCCAGGTCCCTGGTAGCCATTGGGCATGATGCTTGCAGCACCTACCAAGTGCCAGACCTTTGACATACTTTATCTCATATCTTCAAAAAGCCTCTGGGAAAAAGCTTCTTTAAAAAAAAAAAGCCTCCCAGACCCTCAAGGCCAGGACTCTGGAGGAAAGAAAGAAGACAGAGATACAGGGATGAGTTTCCTGCTTGGGGAGGGAGTTCTGGCCATTGGGTCAGACCACCGTCACCTGGGGCTGACAGGTCCTCTGCCTGGAGTGAGGAGTGAGCACCTGGCCCACCTCCACACCCCGGCGCTCTCCCATTGGAGGGCCCAGTCCCACTATCCACATAAGGTCAGGAGTCCCAGCTCCTTCCTAGGCCAGAAGAAGCCCAAGGCCACCACTGTTCACTGCTGGAGATCTAGCCTGAATGAGTTTCTGTGAATCCTCTCTGGCCTACACCCTTTATCATTTTAATCCCAAGCATCTTAGTAGCCAACCCTAGTCAGTATGACCTTCGTGTTCTTTTCATGCGGAGAGAATTATAACGACTAGCACAGAGGTTCTCCCCTGCAGGGGACTCTGCTCACTTCTCACTCCTCACCCAGCTAAACCCTCACTGCAATCTTTGGAATGGATACTGGTTTATTCCCATACTGCAGATGAGTGAACTAAAAGGGGAGAAATCCTGTCCTCCCAGGTGAGAAGGGTAAAAAATCAGCAAGGATTTTGGAGATGAAGTACAAGTGGGAGGGGGCCCTTGAAAACCAAATAGAAAAAGGAGTGTATTCCCAGCCTCAGCCAAGGCACAGGGCTTTCCTCACTCCTCTGCACAGGTTGGCTGCAAAGCAATGCCTAAACCACAACCCTCAAGACCACTCGCATGCCCTGCAACAGCCCCTGAAGTCCTTGGGTAGGGTTGCCAAAAAAAAAAAAGTACAGAATGCCTAGTCAATTTTGAATTTCAGGTAAACAACAAATAAGTTTTCAGTATGAAAGTGTGTTTCAAATAGTTCATGGAGCATACCTATACTAAAAAATTGGGGACATGCTTATATTAAAGTATTCATTGCTTATCCGAAATTCAAATTTGACTGACTGCCCTGTATTTTGATTTGCTAAATCTGGCAGCCCTACCCAGGTGTGGCATCCAGTGGGAACCCAGACCCCAAAGATAACCATAGGGTATTAATACACATGGCAGTTGTACTGAGATCAGTGGCTGAAAGGAAGGGATTCTACACTTTATGGAAGTTCTTTGTCATACAATTATTTTAATTATATTCACATATTTAAAGATAACTCAATATACGAAAATAATAAAAATCAGTTGCAACCTGTCAGAAGCCAGTGTGGCATGAAATGGGATCAGAGCTAGCCTGGCTAGGGCTTGTGGGGAGATCTCTCTTCCTTAGGCAGAGATCATAAGTCTCTGGTGGGGAGGAGAGTCACCGAGGGCAGCCCAGCCTCACCCCTTTGGGAGAGCCCTGGGGTTCAGGTTGCAAGTTCACCTCACTTTTGTAGAGAGAAGAGTGTCTCACTGTGTTACCCAGGCTGATCTCAAGCGGTCCTCCCTCCTCGGCGTCCCAAAGCTCTGGGAGTACAGACGTGAGCCATAGTACCTGGCCTCTGTCCCCTTTGATTATTATGGTAAGAAGATCCTGTCACCATCTCCATTTTTACAGTCCATGAAATTGAGTTTCAGAAATTGGCCAATGCCACACAGCCGCCAAGACAGAGCAAGGATTCTAGCCTGGGTCAGGCCACGAGTTTTCATGCACTGGTACCCACATACCAGGACCGCCTAACATCCTCACCTACACACCCGCCCACTAGAACGCACACGCTCCGATATACATGCATAAACAGAATCACTCTTTCTGGGGAACGCAGCAAATGTGTGCCCGGAAGTCGTGCTGCCCCAACCCAGTCCCACGGCTTTCAGAGGTTAGCGATGCTAATTAATCATCCTTCACATCGCAAGTACCTGCGGGAACGGCTCCTGAGAACTACAACTCCCAGCACACCCTCCAATAACCTCCATCGGGAACGGTTCTGGCGCATGGCCGCCTGGGACTTGTAGTTCTACCCAGAATCCTGTTTGGCTCGTCTTTCAGGGCGGCCAAGGACTCCGTATCCCAGCATGCCAAGGAGCCGGAAGACAGGAGCTCAGAGGGCATCCCGCTGCCGGGGGCGCGCAGGCGCAGCACACCTGTTTGTCGGCCCCTGAAAAGGGAGGTGGTACAGTGGAAGCCGAGAGCGAGGACAAGCGGGAGCTACACAGACTTGACTCGGACACAGACGAGGCACCAGCCCCTTGCGGACTGAAGGGCTCTGGAGTGGATGGAGGAGGCCCAGCCCTGAGATCAACGCCAGCCCGGCCGGCGTGGTGCGGGGCCTACGGGGAGGGCAGGCAGGCAAGCATACCGAAGCCGCCCAGGGCCTTCCCTCAGGTCTCTGGCGAGGGGCTTAGGCTCCGGCCCGCCCACACTCCCGGCTCGGCCCTCGGAACCAGAGCCCGATCCAGTCGGAAGCAGAGCTTTCACCAGGGCCATAGGCCAGTGACTAGGCCGAGCCCGGGCCTCCCATCGGGGCCGGACTAGGAGGAGGCCCCGGGGAGGCCCCTAGTCCACCAGACCCTGTCCTCAGGCCAACGCCCGCTGGGAAGATGCAACGCGCCCTACCAGGCGCCCGCCAGCACTTGGGTGCAATCCTGGCCAGCGCTAGTGTGGTGGTGAAGGCGCTGTGCGCGGCGGTATTATTCCTCTACCTGCTCTCCTTCGCTGTGGACACGGGCTGCCTGGCGGTCACCCCAGGCTATCTCTTTCCGCCCAACTTCTGGATCTGGACCCTGGTCACCCATGGGCTGATGGAACAACACGTATGGGACGTAGCCATCAGCCTGACTACGGTGGTGGTGGCCGGGCGCTTGCTGGAGCCCCTCTGGGGAGCCTTGGAGCTGCTCATTTTCTTCTTAGTGGTGAATGTGTCTGTGGGGCTGCTGGGGGCCTTTGCCTACCTCCTCACCTACATGGCTTCCTTCAACTTGGTCTACCTATTCACTATCCGCATTCATGGCGCCCTGGGCTTCCTAGGTGGTGTCCTGGTGGCACTCAAGCAAACCATGGGGGACTGTGTGGTCCTGCGAGTGCCCCAGGTGCGTGTCAATGTGGTGCCCATGCTGCTACTGGCGCTGCTGCTATTGTTGCGGCTTGCCACACTGCTCCAGAGCCCAGCGCTGGCTTCCTATGGCTTCGGGCTGCTCTCCAGTTGGGTGTATCTTCGCTTCTACCAGCGCCATAGCCGGGGCCGAGGGGACATGGCTGATCACTTTGCTTTCGCCACTTTCTTTCCTGAGATCCTCCAACCTGTGGTGGGGCTATTGGCGAACTTAGTGCACAGCCTCCTGGTGAAGGTAAAGATATGCCAGAAGACAGTGAAGCGCTACGATGTGGGTGCCCCATCCTCCATCACCATCAGCCTGCCAGGCACAGACCCTCAAGATGCGGAGCGGAGAAGGTACTGTGAAATCTTCTAGAATCTTGTCAAGCTAATATTGGTCAAGTCACATGCCATCTGTTGAGGTGTTTGCTGTACATAACGCTGGAGACCTAGAGTCAGGTATTGAGGCAGAATCAGAAAGAGATAAAATTAAGTCTTTGGCCTTGAGGAATTCAGCATTTAGGTATGTTGGCTCCAGAAAGTACTTTTCTCACCCCTCAGGCCACTTAATGAGTTGAGAAATGCAGTTTCCTTTGGTGCTATGTGAGGGGTTGATGGAGGTATACATAACCCTGGCCTTGCCTCAAAATCTCAGCATCCTAGACACTCATCCTGTGGGAGCTGGAAAACTTGTTGGTCCTTTTTCCCCTATAAGGGAGGGACAGGGAAGGAGGCCTGGGATCCTTAAAAGGTGGTCTGGGCCACTCTAATTTTCAAATTCTGAACTATTCCCTCTTCCTGGGCCTTAACTCAGATACTGTGCTTCTTTGCCACTTATTTACTTTTTCAGAGGGAAGCTTGGGGTATTACCAGATTTTCCCACCCCCTAGCAGGCATGTGTTACCAAACCTGGAGGACAGGCTATGTGACCCACCAAGGAAGCCTGCTGACCACACCAGAGAGTGGAGACTGACTTTTCATTATCTGTAAACCAAGCCATCTGCAGCATCAGGAGTCCCGGCTGAATTATTCACTGGATACACTTTGGCCAGGGCAGGACAGATCTTTTTTAATTCAGCTCTTACTCTCTCTGCCAGATCTGTGGACTCATCTGAGTGGTCCCAGCTTCTACAAGATCCACAGCTCTGTTTCCAACATTATCCTTGAGTTTTTTGTGGCAAATTACTTGAGTAGTGAAATCTAGGGCAGGCTTTGTTCCTTTGCATTCATCAAGGCTCCTGCTTTTGCTCACCTGTGAAATGGGTTCTTGGTGGGAAGCTTTATGTCTTCAACTGAAGAGTTACTTTTCTTTTTACTCTCCACTGGGGCTGTGGAGTTAAGTGTGGAACACAGCCCTTTCTTGAAGGAGTTTCCAACTGGGGAAGGGCCACAGATTGCCATGGTCCAAGGTACTAGGTGTCAAAAAATACAGCATGTTGCAGGGTATAATTTTGGGCCTTATAGCTTGGATCTTTACAGGTAATAAGTCCTAAAGACATATGTCTCTCTTAACGTCATTCAATAGAAGAAATGAGGCCAGGAGGGTTAGGCCTGGTAGGAACTGACCTGCCCTCAGAGCTATTCAGGTGGGGCCAGGCCAGTGGTGACACCTCCTCCAGTGAAGGTCTTGGATTGTTAGGGTTGGCTAACAATTGTTAGGTTGTTAGGGATTGTAGGGATATTCAGAAAACCTTGCCCAGGCCCAAGAAAATGGATGGGGAGGCAGGTTGGGGATGAGAGGAGTGAGGCAGGTCAAGAGGTGAGTTCTTGACAGAGCCTTACCATTGTTGGCTTACATGGAGTTGGGGTTACTTCTCCAATTAATTTGACATCTGACTGCATGCCATTCCCAAACCCAAAGGGCTACTAATAGAGGGAGCCAGGTTTCTTACCTGTCTCTTTGACCCTTGTGAGGAAGTGACTACCATGGCACTTATCTCTTTGCCTTGGCAGGCTTTAGACAGAACTGGCAAGGGCATCTTCAGGAGCCTGGGCAGCAGCAGGGGAGGACTGTCCTGTCTGTACCAACCTGTCTTGCACCAGATTGGCAGACTGGGTGGAAGTGTGCTGGAGCTTTCTGTGCCTGTGTCCTTGGAGCCTCTCCTGTCATGTTCTTGGCATGATAGAGATTTTGTTTCTCTGCTGGAACCTGGCAAGTTACACAAGCTATGCCCACATTGGTGGCACAGACAAGCTGAGGCATGAGGAGTCCACAGTGGCCACTGTTGGAAATGTTTCCTGGTAGTATGGGCACTCCCATCTTGTGGGCCAGGGTCCCAAGCACATGTGTATACCTTCTTCTATCGGGCTTTCCCATCTTCCCCCAAAGTGGGTCCTCCAAGGGTGTGCCCTATAGATTCAGTAGACTCTGGCATGTGCCATATCCATGTGGGCTGTTTCTTCTCTTTCTCTTCCTGCAAGGACTCTGCTAAGTCCCTGATGTAACATGGGTCTTGGTGGCTTTGGGGATTCTTCTGGGAAGGAGGATAGTAGAGTCAGTCAATAGGGGTGGACTGACCCAAGTCGGCCCTGCTTCCTGGGCTGAGAGCCAAGGGAGGTGCTGAGTTCCAGCCTTCCCCATAGACCCTTGCCAGGAGGCTCAAGACAGTCCCCTAGGCCGGGCGTGGTGGCTCATGCCTGTAATCCTAACACTCTGGGAGACTTAGGCAAGCGGATTGCTCGAGGTCAGGAGTTTGAAACCAGCCTGAGCAAGACCTGGTCTCTACTAAAAATAGAAAGAAATTAATTGACCAACTAAAAATATATATACAAAAAATTAGCCGGGCATGGTGGCACATGCCTGTAGTCCCAGCTACTCAGGAGGCTGAGGCAGTAGGATTGCTTGAGCCCAGGAGATTGAGGTTGCTGTGAGCTAGGCTGAATCCACAGCACTCACTCTAGCCTAGGCAACAAAGTGACAGTCCCCTAAGCAGGAGACGGGGAGAATAACCCTTCCTTGGATGTGATGCCAGTGCCAGACAGAAACTCACATCTCCAGGGACTTGCCATTCTACCCATCTGCCCTAGGGCACGAGCTCCACCCACCCTTAGGCACCACCCTCAGAACCATTCCTGGTGAATGGCCTGGTGGGCAGTCTGGCAGACACCCAGCTGGCCTTCTCAGCTTGGAGGTGCCTCGGTGATGGAAGGAAGACTCTGTAGCCTTTGGGTTCTCATTCTGATGGCAGAGTGGGCCCTAATCCAATTCTTGGGGAGCCCCAGACCCAGCATGGGGGGTGGGCAAAACTTGGGATGCTGGAGGAGGAGTCTAAGTGGTAAGGGGAGGAGCCAGCCTGTTGTGGAAGGGTGCAAGGCATGAGCCAATCCCAAACCCAGAGTGACCTGTCCTCTCTCTTCTGGCCCCAGGCAACTGGCCTTGAAGGCCCTCAATGAGCGACTGAAGAGAGTGGAGGACCAGTCCGTCTGGCCCAGCATGGATGATGATGAAGAGGAGGCTGGGGCCAAGGTGGACAGCCCCCTGCCCTCAGACAAAGCTCCCATGCCCCCAGGCAAGGGGACTGCACCAGAATCTAGTCTAATCACCTTCGAGGCAGCTCCCCCGAAGCTGTAACTCCAGACCACCTTGAGTGTAGCATCTCCTCTCCCAAACCTCCCTTGACACCCTCTCAGCTACTCCAGGGCACTGGCCGCTCTGAGGAGAGGGAAGGCGGCCTGCTGGGGGTTTCCGTGGCCCTCTGCTGTTTCTCGCCAACACTACCCAGGACTCTTGCTACCTGGTTCCAACTCCAGACAACCACTATGCCAGGCATGGGGCCGCTGAGGCATGAGCCAGTTCAGGCCCCCATCTGATGTAGACTGTACCTCAGCAGAAAGCCCCAAGCAAATGGTTGCAAGGACATCGGTGCCACAGCTCCTGGGCCAGCCATTGCATCTGAAACTGGTTGCTGAGAGGCCTGAGCCAAGGCAAAAGATTTGCCAAAAATGTTCTGGGGGCCCAGCCAGTGCAAGAGCCAATCCAGGTCTGCACATCCCTGCCCACCCCCAGAAAGACTATGTTCATGTCGGGATTTCTTGTTTCCCTCTGCTGTGGCGTGACTGCTTCTGGGCCAGAACAGCCACAGTTCCCAGGTATTTTCTACAGGACCACTTGAGCGGGCAGCCAAGCCCAGCCTCGCAGTATCAATAAAGCAGTTCTTTGCGGTATGACTCCTGGGCTCTGTCAGGCCACCTTATGCAGCTCCTTCATCACACTCAACTGCAAAGTTAGATGGGGACTTCACTCCAGGTTCAATGGCTCAGTCCCTAAGGTAACTCCAACTGGATAAGAAGCCCATTGCCCCAGCTCCCCTTCCCCCTACCACCATGTGCCTACTGCCAAGCACCTTCCCAGAGCTGTCACCTCAGACCATTATCCCTTTTTTTTCCCCCTCACTCTCTAATCCCCAGTCAGGGAGGCTCTCTGCCCCTCCCCAGAGGATCTGGTGGTCGAGGGCCTCTCTATCGTAAGGATTTGTTTTCATCCATGGTTCACCTTCAAGACACAGCATTTGGTGCCTGCACCGATGGAGACAACCCATGCCCAGCTCCCATCCTGCTCCCATCCTGTCATTGTGTCTATGGAACTACCGCTGTCTAAAGACTCCAGCATAGTGGGCAGCTGGGCGATGGGAAGGACACAGCTGTACCATTCACCACTACAGCTGCAGGTCCTACTGGGGCACCCTGGGTGGCATGGGAGGCTCAGCTGCCAGATCCTGGAGACTTATGCTAGGACAGCTTCGCCCCTCAGTGAGCAGCCAGGGACAGGGGGTCCCCATCTTGCCCAGCTGCCCATTTTCTCATGCTGATGGCATCAACAAGAATCATCCCCAATTCTGGGATGCTCCTTCTATCAGTCTTTTTTTATTTTATTTTATTTTATTTTATTTTTTCTCCTGAAATTTCTGGATATACCAGTACAAATATGAGCTGCATTGCTGGGGAGGCAGTCTTGCAACCCCAACTTCATCCAGGTACATGATCTGTATGTTCCTCTGCGATGATGGAGAGAAGGAAAAGGGAGACACTCTAGCATAAGAAGCAAAAATGTCACACACAGGCCTATCCTTGACCAAGCCAGTGCCTGCGGTGTCCAAGTCAGCTGAAAGAGTCCAGGGTGTCCCAACCCCAGCTCCTACAGTATAGGGCAAATCCAGGTCTCCCCTATGCTGGGAGCTCATGGTTGGATCCTTTTGCGGTATAGGTAGGCATTGCTCACCTGGTTCATAATGACCAAGCTGGTGAGGACAGGGCATAGCACAGCCAGGTACCAGGCCCCACCAGTGACAGTGGCAGTGAACCAGAGTGAGCACATGCCCAACAAGAGGCTGGCACTACCCAGCAGGTAGCCCACCAGCCCAGAAGTGGCATGGTATAGCTTGAGCTTTGCCAAGGGCCATCGGGGCAGCAGTTTGGGGTAGAGCAGCCCCACCCCACCACAGCACTGCAGCCCTGCCCACAGCACAGCTAGCAGCCCTGCCTGCCCATGCCGTGTGGCCAGGTGGGCTTTGCCAAGTTGCTCTTTGTGGACGATGACAAGGCCGAAGCCCAGCAGAGCACATAGCAGGGCCAGGAGCTGCAGTACCCAGTGGCAGCGTGCTCGGCCCTTGCGTGAGAGGGAGCGCAGCAGTGAACTCTCAGGAGAGAACACCAGTAGTGCCTCGGTCATCAGGAAGGAGAACTGAGGAGATAGGATGGGAAACTCGAGTGAGGGTGCTGCCCCAGCAGAAGGAAAAAGGGGCTCTAGATAACTTTTTTATTTTGAGACAGAGTCTTTCGCTTTGTTGCCCAGGCTAGAGTGAGTGCTGTGGTGTCAGCCTAGCTCACAGCAACCTCAAACTCCTTGGCTAAACCGATCCTTCTGCCTCAGCCTCCCGAGTAGCTGAGACTACAGGCATGCACCGCCATGCCCAGCTAATTTGTTCTATGTAGGCATGCGCCACTATGCCCGACTAATTTTTTCTATATATATTAGTTGGCCAATTAATTTCTTTCTATTTATAGTAGAGACGGGGTCTCGCTCTTGCTCAGGCTGGTTTCGAACTCCTGACCTGGAGCAATCCGCCTGCTTCGGCCTCGCAAAGTGCTAGGATTACAGGTGTGAGCGGCCTAGATAACTTTCTAAGCTGTCGGTGAATTGTGGACTGATTCGCCTTTTTCATTATCTCCCCATTGACAAGACTATCCATTTGGTAGGCAAGAATAGAAAACTCTATAGTACATCTGTCCTGAGACAGTATATCTGTCCTGAGTAAACACGGGTGTTTCTCCACACTTCTTCCTAGGTGCTATTCTGAAATGTCATCTCTGCCATGTTACACAGCAAATGCAAGGTTTAGAATTTAGATTGTGGCGTTATAAATGATTCACAAGCTTTGTTTCCCTATCATGGTGCTAGATACAATTTCTTGGCAAGAGCTGGCCACATGGGTGCACTGTTTCAGACAAAGTTAAGTGTATCACCATAAATTAAGATACAAAGGGACAGAGGTACAACCAAATGCAATCTCTTAGCTTCCTGCCTTGAAGTAGGTAAAGCCTCATTTTGTGCTTACACAAACATGCATTTGTCCTGGGTCTTGAATATTCTGGTTCAAGTCTTAGATATACATCACAGGCAGGAGTTGGAGCATGCAACTCCTCCAAAAGAATATTAAGTATCAATAAGGATTAGAGGTTGCCAGGGCTACCACCCATGCCCACACTCCCACCCCTAAGAGTTGCCCACTACTTACAGCCAAAGACATAAGCACGGGGTGCCAGGAGAACAGGCCTAGAATGAGAAGAGGAGACCTCGTGGGGCTGAGGCAAAAAGAAACCAGTCATACCAGTCATTAAGGGCTGAGGAATATCGGCAGCCCATTACCCAAGAAGGTGCTGCCAAAATGCAAGCTGCCTCTTGCTGCAACAAGCTGACCCCACACCTATCCATTCTTCCTGGCCCCTTCCTGGTTCAGAGGCCATGCCTTGGCAGTCCTTCCATTTTCCTCAGCACCTCCCAAGAGGCAACCACATGGAGCACCCAGACAAGGAAAGAGAAACCAGGTACTCTGTGGGGCCTGGCTAGGCTGGTGGAACCTCCACAACCAACTGCTCCCACACATCCCTTCAGCACAGAATATCCCTCAGCCAACCCTCAGCCAGCCAGGCCTGACTCCTGACTCCCAGGAGTCAGGCCCAAGGCTTCCTACTGCCCTTGCACCCCAGGAAAACTGACCTTGCCCTCTCCAGAAGTCAACTATGAATTCTACTTACTGGAGCCAGGCCTGGCAAGCACAGCCACAAAGATGGTAAAGCCCAGGGCCACAAAGTGGGCGGCAGCCCCAGAGGCAGTGCGCAGAACTCGGTAGATGTGTGACTCGGTCTCCGCAGAAAGGGCCATGGTCAGCCGGGCCGGCAACTGTAGCCTGAAAGCATAGTAGCGTGGGCAAAGGTCTCAGGTGCCCACTGTCCACTCCTCTCACTGGACAAAAGGTTGCAGGACAGGAATGCCACCCTTTTCCAAGAAGTTATAGTAGAATACTACTAAGACCAGCACCAGGAATAGTCACAACATGCCAGTCGAAGACCGGCGGCCTGTCAGCGTGTACCTTTATCTGAACCGGTATTAATAATCCCTGGTCCACATTCCAGGTAGGATGCGCAAGGCCATGGAAGACTACAAATCCCAGCGTGCATCACGCCGTCACCGACGGGAACGCCACCTGGGGGGGCGTGGAGCACGACGGAGATTGTAGTCCCCAGCTCCGGTCCTAGTAACAGCGTGAATCCCTTCGCGCGCTGCCTCCCAAAGTGCCGCTGGCATGCTGCCCCTCCATGCTAGGGATCTGCCTGCCTCACCCGCAGCGCCGCCCCGATGCAGTGGTTTTTCTCCAAAGAAAGCTGAATATTCGGGGCCCTGCCGCACGCGTCGCCGCCTCCGTCGCGGAGGCACTTCACTTCCGGGTGCGATGTCTACTCACCCTGCACTTCCTGGGACGAGCCCCTCACCTCCCCAGCCACGCCTCTGAGTCGCGCTGCGCAGGCGCTATTGAGCCGACTGCTTCGCTGGCGAGTGCGCGCTTAATCTTGCGTGACCCCGCGGCCCAGGCCTCTGCCCTGTCTCCGACAGGTGTTCCCAGGAGTGGCGGCGCCTCTGCGCGCTAAGAACGAAAAGCTACGGATCCAGGTCCTGCTAGCATCATGGGCAGCGGCTGCCGCATCGAATGCATATTCTTCAGCGAGTTCCACCCCACGCTAGGACCCAAGATCACCTATCAGGTGCCACCTGGGCTCACGGGACTGGGCGGGGAGACAGGCGTTCTCGGGAGCTCAGCCGGCTGCCTGGAGGCAGTAAATCCCCGCGCTGCACGTGGGCACGCCACTCCTTCATTCGCGAACAACCAAGAGCCGAGAGGATACTCAGACCCAGGTCCTGGGTTCCTGGTGTGGCGGGGTGGGAGGAGACAGCGCACATAAGCAGTGTTGGTAGGAAATCGGGCTGTGGGTGGCCGATGGGTGGCCCATGAATATCCCTTGATTAAGACCTAAATGAAGCATAGGAAGTTAGGTGAGGGAGGAGAGTGTTCCAGATAAAGGGAACAGCATATGCAAAAGCCAGGAAGCAAATGAGAACACAGAGTGTGTTTGGAAACATAAAATAGAGTAAACCTAGGTGGATGGGATTGAAGGAAATCCTAGAGAACAGGACTTGGGCCTGGGGTGTGGAGGGTACCCAGTGGACATCCACTACCCATGTCCACTGAGGAGCCTTTTGCCACACACACCCCTCCCCCAGGTCCCTGAGGACTTCATCTCCCGGGAGCTGTTTGACACGGTCCAAGTGTACATCATCACCAAGCCAGAGCTGCAGAACAAGCTCATCACTGTGTGAGGCCCTAGCTGAGGGTGGGGGGATTCCCAGGAGAAGGGAATAGGGTTGGGGCAGTTCTGACTCTTTTCCACCCATCCAGCACAGCCATGGAAAAGAAGCTGATCGGCTGCCCTGTGTGCATTGAACACAAGAAGTACAGCCGCAATGCCCTCCTCTTCAACCTGGGATTCGTGTGTGATGCCCAGGCCAAGACCTGTGCCCTCGAGCCCATCGTTAAAAAGCTGGCTGGCTACCTGACCACACTGGAGGTCTGCAATGATATGGGCTTGGGTGTATAGGCAGGCAGAGTTGGGGAAAGTGTTCCCATGTCTCCAAAATCCCCCCAACCTGGGACCCTGCTAGCCACCTGAGGACCCAGAGAGGGCAGCCAGCCAGCAGAGGTTGGGTTGTACCCACCACGTCCATACTCTGTCCAGCTAGAGAGCAGCTTCGTTTCCACGGAGGAGAGCAAACAGAAGTTGGTGCCCATCATGACCATCTTGCTGGAGGAGCTGAATGCCTCAGGCCAGTGTACTCTGCCCATTGGTATGGCCCAGCCTCTGCAAGGACAGCAGAGGGGTGCAGGAGGGATGGAAAAGTGGCAGGGGAAAGTAGGGGAGAAGGACAAGACACATGAACAAACTGGTGGCTAGAAAATAGCCATGGGCTGAGGTGTTGATGTCCAGGGTTTGGTGCATAATGGGAATGGAGGAGCCAGTAGAGCCCTCCAGCTCTGCTCCTTGGGCATATTCCTTCTGCTCTCTGGACCTCAGTTTCTTGCTCCATAAAAGGGGAAGATTGACCCTACCCAGAGCCACCTGGCTGCCTCAAGGGATGCTGGAGGCCAGGATGGTAATTGAGAGCCACTTGGAAGATGTGGCACTGAGGATATGGGTGGGGCCCCTGCAGATGAATCCAACACCATCCACTTGAAGGTGATAGAGCAGCGTCCGGACCCTCCTGTGGCCCAAGAGTATGACGTGCCTGTCTTCACCAAGGACAAGGAGGAGTTCTTCAACTCACAGTGGGACCTCACTACACAACAGGTGTGCCATCTCTCCCAGGGTATCAACTGGGGCTGGCCACAGCCCTGGCCTCATCCTACTTCCTCTGACCCTGCCCTACTCTGCCCAGATCCTGCCCTACATTGATGGTTTCCGCCACGTCCAGAAGATCTCAGCTGAGGCAGATGTGGAGCTCAACCTGGTGCGCATTGCTATCCAGAACCTGCTGTGAGTGGGACTATAGTCACACCCGGTACAAGGTCACAAGCCAGGGAAGAGCCCAGGGGCCCTGAGTATGGGGCTGGGAAGGTATAGTCCTCAGAAGCTGAGCACAGCTATCTCTCTCAGGTACTATGGAGTTGTGACACTGGTATCCATCCTCCAGGTAGGTGAGTCTCAGGTATGGTTAAGTGGAAAGTGGACCATGTGGCTGGGCCAGACCAGCACTATGTCAGCTTCCCAAGCCACTCACTCAGGTCCCTGTGTCTTCTGCTACCCTCTAGTATTCCAATGTGTACTGCCCGACGCCCAAGGTCCAGGACCTGGTAGACGACAAGTCCCTGCAGGAGGCGTGTCTATCCTATGTGACCAAGCAAGGTAGTAGCGTCTCTGGGGGAGGCCATCTTGGGGAGGGCAGGGCCACCTGGCAAGCTGAACCCTGGCATCCACAGGGCACAAGAGGGCCAGTCTCCGGGATGTGTTCCAGCTGTACTGCAGTCTGAGCCCTGGCACTACTGTGCGAGACCTCATTGGCCGCCACCCTCAGCAGCTACAGCATGTTGATGAACGGTCAGAGGGGGATTTCCTTGGTCATGAGGGGATTACCTGAGGGAAGGTAGACTCTCTCTGTCTGTCAGGAGACCTGGGTCAGAGAGGAAGCAGGGGATGCTTCCAAGTGAGCAGAGTCATGTGGCACTGCTAGTCCAGGCAGGTTTCCTGGAGTTGATGGGCTTAGAGGCCAGTCTGACCACTGAAGGGAAGACTGCAGGAAAGGGTTGGCCTGGCTGGAAGGAGGCCTGGCCAGGGCATCACTCCTTTATCCCCTAACCCTTACCTAGGAAATTGATCCAGTTCGGGCTTATGAAGAACCTGATTCGGCGACTACAGAAGTATCCCGTGAGGGTATCTCGGGAAGAGTGGAGCCACCCTGCCCGACTTTACACAGGCTGCCACAGCTATGATGAGATCTGCTGCAAGACAGGTGGAGGCAGGCAGGGCAGTCAGGGTGGGGTCAGGGCAGGGTGACCAAGCCAAGGCCACTGACTTCACTTCCACCAACTTACCCAGGCATGAGCTACCGTGAGCTGGATGAGCGGCTTGAAAACGACCCCAACATCATCATCTGCTGGAAGTGAGGCTGGTGGTGGCCAGACAGGCACATTGTTGTGGCTACTACTTCCTGCTAAACCCTGCATGCTACATGGAGCTAGACCAGTAGGCTAGTTCATACTGTCTGGAGGTTGATCTTAGTTCTGTAAATAAAGTCATGCATTTCAACCTACCTTTATTGAGTACTGCCTCTGCCACAGGGTGCCCACGCAGCAATGAATGAAATAGCCCCAAGCCTGGCATGCTAGAGCGCCATCTGGTGGATAGGACTAACAATGGACAAGTAAGGGTGCCCACTGCTAATTATAAACTGAAAAAAGCCAGAAACAGATGTGATAAAGAGTGATTTGGGGGGCCGGGCGTGGTGGCTCACGCCTGTAATCCTAGCTCTCTGGGAGGCTGAGGCGGGCGGATTGCTCAAGGTCAGGAGTTCGAAACTAGCCTGAGCAAGAGCGAGACCCTGTCTCTACTATAAATAGAAAGAAATTAATTGGCCAACTAATATATATAGGAAAAAAAATTAGCCGGGCATGGTGGCACATGCCTGTAGTCCCAGCTACTCAGGAGGCTGAGGCAGGAGGATCGCTTGAGCCCATGAGTTTGAGGTTGCTGTGAGCTAGGCTGATGCCACGGCACTCACTCTAGCCTAGGCAACAAAGTGAGACTCTGTCTCAAAAAAAAAAAAGAGTGATTTGGGGCCAGGCGCGGTGGCTCACACATGTAATCCTAGCACTCTGGGAGGCCGAGGCAGGTGAATTGCTCAAGGTCAGGAGTTCGAAACCAGCCTGAGCAAGAGCGAGACCCCGTCTCTACTATAAATAGAAAGAAATTAATTGGCCAACTAATACATATAGAAAAAATTAGCCGGGCATGGTGGTGCATGCCTGTAGTCCCAGCTACTTGGGAGCCTGAGGCAGCAGGATCGCTTGAGCCCAGGAGTTTGAGGTTGCTGTGAGCTAGGCTGATGCCATGGCACTCACTCTAGCCTGGGCAACAAAGTGAGACTCTGTCTCCAAAAAAAATAAAGAATGATTTGGGCCAGGCGCAGTGGCTGACGCCTGTAATCCTAGCACTGGGAGGCCGGGCCGGGGAGGATAGCTCAAGGTCAGGAGTTTGAAACCAGCCTGAGCAAGAGTGAGACCCCGTCTCTACTAAAAAAAAAAAAAATAGAAATTAATTTTAGCCAACTAAAAATATATAGAAAATATTAGCCGGGCATGGTGACACATGCCTGTAGTCTCAGCTACTCAGGAGGCTGAGGCAGAAGGATCACTTGAGCCCAGGAGTTTGAGGTTGCTGTGAGCTAGGCTGACACCATGGCACTCACTCTAGCCTAGGCAACAAAATGAGACTCTGTCTCAAAAAAAAGAATGATTTGGGGCTAGGTATGGTGACTCACATCTGTAATCCCAGCACTTTGGGAGGACGAGGCAGGAGGATTGCTTGATGCCTGAAATTTGAGACCAGACTGGGCAATACAGCATGACATCCCCCCATCTCTACAAAAAAATTTAACAAAAAAATTAGGTGTGGTGGCATGTGCCTGTAGTCCCACCTACTCGGGAGCCTGAAGCAAAGGGATTGTTTGAGCCCAGGAGTTCGAGAGTCCTGGGCAGCAAAGTGAGACCATATCTTTATTTTAAAAAGATGGGAACAAGGACTGCTCTGGAATAGATGGCCAAGAAAGGCCTCACTGAGATGACATAAGCTGAGCCCTAAACAGTATTCCAGGCGAGGATGCAAGTACAAAACCCTGAGGCAAAAACCTCTTTGGGATGTACAACGTGGGGTTTGAACATAGGAGGCAAGGGGAGAAAGCCAAGAATTGAAGTCCTAAGCTAGGAAAGAGGGCAGGAAGTAGATCTTGCAGAGCTGCTAGGCTGCAGCTTCAGACCTAGTATTTTAAGTGCCAGAGGAAGCCACAGAGCCACTCTCATGCAAGGGAGTAATGTCTGATGTACACCTTTGAGACTCCTGGCTGCTCCTGAGGGTCAGAAGCAGAAGTAGGTCCAGTGAAAGGCCGCTGCAATTACCCCCAGGAGAGGTAATGCAGTCTGGATTCAGATGGAAAGAAGTTGTGGGCTCCGGCCAGTATTTCAGGAGTAGAGACAGCTAGGAGAAATATGGGAACTAGGAAGCCAGGAGGAGGAGCACCGAGTGGGCCAAGATACAGGAGCAGCTAGTGGAGGGTCAGGGTTACCTGACTTGACGTCTGAGGAATCTAGGCCACAGGAGTCCAGAGCTCAGGACTCGGGGGCCGCAGCCCTTTGTGAAGGACAAAAGTCTGGGAATCCAACGAGGTTGCTGTTGGTAGCCAGGCAAGGTGAAGCCGGCAGGGAACCTGTTCCGACCCTAGGTAAGCCGCAGGCGGGGGCGGGACGCAGGCTGCACTGCGCAGGCGCGAGCTAACCGGTTTCCATGGCGATGAGGACACACGCGCCCCAACCGCCCCATAACTGTCAGGTCCTGGACTTCGGCCCGCAGGAGTGTGTCGGCACCCCATCCCGGCTGCTGCCCCGAAGTCAACTGCACCCTAGCCCCAACATGGGCGACCTGGAGCTGCTACTGCCTGGGGAAGCTGACGTGCTGGTGCGGCGTCTGCGCAGCTTCCAGCTACGCGAGATGGGCTCGGAAGGGTGAGGCACCTGGGTCAGCTGTAGTCACGGGGTCATTGTCCTTGAGTGGGGGAGCTTGGACCTTATACTGGGAGGAGGGTTACCCAGTGTGGAGGAGCCCCCAGGTGGGGAGGCAAAGCTCTCCGAAATCGAGGTATGTATATATATGGCTCCGGGGCCCTCTGGATAAGGTTAGGCTTCAATAAGATTCAGCCCCCATCCTCCTAATGCCCACATGTGCACCCAAATGCACATACACATCCTCTGGGGCAGGTGGAACCAGCAGCATGAGAACCTGGAGAAGCTGAACATGCAAGCCATCCTTGATGCCACGGTCAGCCAGGGCGAGCCCATTCAGGAGCTGCTGGTCACCCATGGGAAGGTACCTCAAGGTCACAGCCAGGGTTCCTGCTTTCCTCCCCACACCCTCTCTACCCCTCAGGATCACTCTAGGTGTGTGCTCTTCCCTATGGCCTATTACACCTGTCCTCCCTAAAGGGGAAAGAAGATTGTGTTACCCAATTCATTTTGTACTCCTGTTGGACAGGACACTGGTACACCAGGCCTGGTGCAGGGCATGAGTCGATTAGGATCATGAATCCTAGAACAACCTAACTTTGTTGGGAGAGCCCAAGTGCTAAAGGCATCCCTGAATTGCCCCAACTGAAGTGGGAGTGGGACTTTGGCACAGAAAGAGGCAGCCTTCCCAACATGAGTGGGGGAGTTAGAAACCAGGGAGATACCTGGCTGCAGCATGGGCCAGGGAGTGGCACCAGTAAATGATCTAAGATATCACGTGACAAAAGGGTTCTCCTGCAAGAAAAAGGGGGAGCTCACCAGTAGGTGGTAAGGTAGGAATAGGGCACTGTGAAGAGCCCTGAGTAAGGGTGAGGCCAAGGTACATGAGAGTCTTGGAGGGCCAGAGGACAGGGACAAGAGGGAGGGAATTAGCAGGAAGATGGGCCTGAAAAGGATGCCTGAATGAAGGAGGGGAGGAGAGGGGAGATAAGGGTGCAGGTACAGGGAGGGCAAGGCAGTCTGGGGACAGGATGCGGGCTAGTCACAGGAAGCATGGTGATGTCCCCACAGGGATGATGGGGGCAGCTGGAAGTGAAGGTCCAAGGTGCAAGAGAGAAGTAGGAAGGGTACTTTGGGGTCTGGGAGAATCTAGGGGCCCAAGGGGAATTTGAGGAGAATTCAGCTGGGCTGAGGCAGAGATAGGAGGGTTGCCAGGCTAAGACAGGCCCAACTCATCCCTGTCTTGTACCCCATCCTTCAAAGATTCCAACGCTAGTGGAGGAGCTGATCGCAGTGGAGATGTGGAAGCAGAAGGTGTTCCCCGTGCTATGCAGGCTGGAGGACTTCAAGCCCCAGAACACTTTCCCCATATACATGGTGGTGAGCTGGGCCCTTGGTTCAGACCTCCTCCCACCCCTTCAAAGGGCCCTGGACTGGGGAGGATAGCTATTGGCCCCTATCCCCCCTTCAGCAGCCCCAGGCCCTGTCCTCCTCTTTGTCTGACAGGTACACCATGAAGCCTCCATCATCAACCTCTTGGAGACAGTGTTCTTCCACAAGGTGAGACACTACCCCTGCCCATGGGCTACTGCTCCAGGCCATAGCCTGGAAGAAAGGGAGGTTGTGTCTATGTGAAGAGGGCATCAGAGACAGAAAGTTTTCCCTCCCCCTACACACCAGGAGGTGTGTGAGTCAGCAGAGGACACTGTCTTGGACCTTGTGGACTACTGCCACCGCAAACTGACTCTGCTGGTGGCCCGGAGTGGCCGTGGTAGCCTCCCTGAGGAGGAGGGGTCCCAGGACAGCACCCCTATGCAGGTGGGATTGAAGTTCCCTGGGGTTGGCAAAGACTAGATCTCCAAGGCCTGTGCAGGCCAGGGGTGGCCCAGCTAGAACAATGTGTGGCCTCCTAGGAGCTGCAGAAGCAGGCAGAGCTGATGGAATTTGAGATTGCACTGAAGGCCCTCTCAGTACTGCGATACATCACAGACTGCGTGGACAGGTGGGCAGCCCTACCTGGCCTGGGGCCTATGGTGGAGGGCTGGAAGACTGGCCTGTAGACCTGCCTCTTCTCACCTCCCTCCTGGCACCCCGGCCTGTAGCCTTTCCCTGAGCACTTTGAGCCGCATGCTCAGCACCCACAACCTGCCCTGTCTTCTGGTCGAACTGCTGGAGCACAGTCCCTGGAGCCGGCGAGAAGGAGGTAAGGTCCTCCCCTACACAACTAAGCCCCAGCCCACTGCTTCTAGGACATCCTTCAGGATTGATGGGGGTGGGCAGCTTGCACACAGGCAGACAAACCCTGTCCCCCAGCCCTCAGAGGGTACCAGGATGCCTCACCCAAGGTGGGCCTAGGCCTGGGCTCTGTAGCAGGGAAAGTCCATGTGTCCACTACTGAGGACTCACCCTGCTCTGAGATCAGCAGCAGCACTGCAGCCTGGGCAAGTCGTATGGCCCAGGTTCTCCCACCATGCCCAGGCAGTGGCCAGTCCCCCAGCCCACATAGCTGGGTCACTCAAAGAAAATACAATGCCTATACCCAGCATGCTGCTTCCTCTCCCTAGGCAAGCTGCAGCAATTCGAGGGTGGCCACTGGCAGACAGTGGCCCCCTCAGAGCAACAAAAGCTGAGCAAGTTGGACGGGCAAGTGTGGATCGCCCTGTACAACCTGCTGCTAAGCCCTGAGGCCCGGGCCCGCTACTGCCTCACAAGCTTTGCCAAGGGACAGCTGCTCAAGGTGGGGAGCTACCCTCACACCAGTCCCTACAGCCCTAGCTCTGCCATCCCCCATCCCCCCCACTGCATCCCTGCTATTTATCTTTGATCACCCACCTCAGCCTCAGTCCTCAGGTCTCAAGTGAAACAGCAATGAGTGGGACATGGGCTCCACAGACACCCTCAGCCCAGCCCAGGCTCTCCCTTTTCCTTGGCCCTCTGGCCAGCACCTGATTCAAACTGGTGCCCACTGGACATCCTTGCAGCTTCGGGCCTTCCTCACAGACACATTACTCGACCAGCTGCCCAACCTAGCAGACCTGCAGGGTTTCTTGGCCCACCTGGCCCTAGCCGAAACCCAGCCCCCTAAGAAGGACCTGGTGTTGGAACAGGTAGGCACTGGAAGGTTAGTTGCTCAGGACCATTGTCCACTTTGCTAGCTCCTTCCTGCCACTCTCCGCTTCTCTCCCCTAGATCCCAGAAATCTGGGAGCGGCTGGAGCAAGAGAATAGAGGCAAGTGGCAGGCTATTGCCAAGCATCAGCTTCGGCATGTGTTCAGCCCCTCGGAGCAGGACCTTCGGCTGCAGGCACGAAGGTAAAGCCTGCTGAACTGCCAGAAGGGATGGATGGGATGCAGGAGGCATGGAGGTGGGCAGGATGCCCCCATCTGCCAGGCTCAGTCAGGCCCTCCCGACCCTCCTCCAGGTGGGCTGAGACCTACAGGCTGGACGTGCTAGAGGCAGTGGCTCCAGAGCGACCCCGCTGTGCCCACTGCAATGCAGAGGCCTCCAAGCGCTGCTCTCGATGCCAGAATGAGTGGTATTGCTGCAGGTGAGCATACCCTAGGACCTTGGACCCTAAGCCCCACTCCCACATACCCTGCTATCCTCAGAAGCCCACCTGTCTGCAGAGATTGCCAAGTCAAGCACTGGGAGAAGCATGGAAAGGCTTGTGTCCTGGCAGCCCCTGGTGACAGAGTCAAATGAGAACTGCAGTTGCTGAGAACTGACCACCCATGCCAAGGGAACCCACCCAGAATTCACCCCTGAACCCCAGGATTTCATTCCAGGCTCTGCCAGTGCCTCAGACTCCCCTTGTGGTGAGCAAAGCGGGAGGGTAGAGCTGCTGACCCATCCCCCTCTCCCCTCCCCAAGCGAAGGCTTTCGACTTCCTGCCCCACCCGGCGGGTAGGCGGAGGATGCTGCCTCAGCACACTGGGGCAGGAGGACAGGGCCGGATGCGGGGACCCTCTTCCTCTAGCACAGTAAAGCTGGCCTTCAGAAACACGCACATCTCTGTGTGGTGCCTTGCAGTCACTGGTCACCGTCACCTCTGGCATCTGGGGTCAAGGAGAGCATGAAGACTGGAGGGAAAAGCAGGGCAGGGCCTCCGCCACAGTGCCCCCAACCCCTGCCATGCTCTGCCTTCAATCCCACACAGTCCTCGCACCCAGTTTTCCATTGCGTGGCGCTCAGCTCCTTCCCGCCGCCCCTGCCTGGAACCTGGGGCGGCGCTCACGTCGGGCCCGCCCTGTGGCCCCGCCTGCCTCGCGCTTGCTAGCGCCCAGAGCCAGCCCAAGCCCGGGCCCAACAGGGCCATGTCGGCGGAGCCTGAGCTCATTGAGCTGCGGGATCTGGCACCCACGGGGCGCGCCAGCCCAGGCCGCACCCGGCTGGAGCGTGCCAACGCGCTGCGCATCGCGCCAGGCACCGCGCGCAATCCCGCACGGCAGCTGGTCCCCGGCCGGGGCCACCGCTTCCAGCCCGCGGGGCCTGCCACGCACACGTGGTGCGACCTGTGCGGCGACTTCATATGGGGCGTTGTGCGCAAGGGCCTGCAGTGCGCGCGTGAGTAGCAGCCCCGCCGGCGAGAGTGGAACGGGCGGCCAAGGGGCAGCGCTGTTTCTGTGGGTCAAGTCGTGTGGGGGGTGGGGGGTGGGGCGGTTCAGCTGGGAGAGTCCCTGAGAACTAGGTCCGTTACTTTTGCCCCATCTCAGAAGAGTGCAGGAAGATGGTTTATCCTTTGCCGTGCTCTATCCGAGGCTGGGGCGCAGCTGGGCAGAGGTGGTTGCCTGTGTTGTAACAGGGTGCTGATTTCAAGTTTCTTTAAAGTGACTTGGCCCTTCTTGAGAAAGGTTTTGTGCCTACTGTCCTTTGTGCCCATATTCCCAAGCCTGCCTCTTCCCAAAGACTCGACTCATTCCACTGTATCCCCCGTCCAGAATCCGTGGGGTGAAGGGAAATTACCCACCTATGGCAAGGGGCCTGGAAAAAGTTAGAACTTTGGGTGACTCCCTGCAAACAGAATTTGGTTGAGTCTTTACTTAGCAAACACCTATTTCGGGCCTGTAAACCAGGTGCTAAAACATGGAACACAGCCATGTGGTCCTGCCCACCCTGGGAATCACCAGCAAGCAGAGGCTGCTCTTCCACTGGCTGTACATCAGCTAGAATCACCTGAGGCGCTTCTACAACCTTCCAACCCTCTATGCCTAGATCCTACCTCAGACCTGTTGAATCAATTGCTGGGAGTGGACTCGAGGCACCAGTAATGTTTTAAAGCTCCCCAAATCATTCTAATGTGCAGTCTGGGTTGAGAATCACTACTCTGGCCCATTTAGGAACCTAGAGAAGGTATATCCCAGGCCTGTGTGTGAATGGAGATCCTCTTATCCAGCTCAGGAGTAAGTTATGAATTCAGCTGAGAGGAGCACAGGAGTTGTGACAGAACATGAAGAATGAGCAAGGGCTAGGATATTGCTGTCTTCCCTAGGAGAAATAAAGTGGCCATAGAGATGAGAAACAGGACAACTTGGGTGTGTATCAGAGGTAGAGACAGGAGGAATGAAGGATGAGTTTGGGTTTTTGTCTCAAACATCTGGGGGCATAATGGCAATTTTTGCAGCAATAAGGAACTCTGGAAAGGATAGGGGTAAGTGGGAAAGAGATTTTGGCCATGTTCACTTGAAATGTCTTAGACTTTCAAGTGAAGTTACTGGCACATAGGATTTGATCTGGGAAGTCGGTGCTTGAGCCATGGATCTGGGGCAGGTGAGCATGGACAGAGCAGGGCAGTGATCAGGACTGAGCCCCAGACATCACCATTAGATCTGGAAGTTGAGACAGAACCTCCTCCTGAGGAGGAGCTTTAGGGGAGTGGGAGGAAAACTAGGAGAGCATGTCTCCTGAGAGTCAAGGGGAGTAAGTATCAAACGATGCTGAGGAGATGAAAGTGGAGAATGAAACACTAAATACCATTCAACAGTACACAGATTCCTGAGGACCCTTACCAGGGCAGTTTCCTGGATGGAGGGACAAGCCTGTCTGCAGTGGGTAGAGGAGAGAGTGAAGGCAAAGAAGTAAGAGTGTATGGAGACTAGTGTTCTGTTCTGAGAGGAGCAGAGACATGGCAATTAGAGGGGGACATGGATTAAGAGTTTTTATTTTTTTTTTTATTTTTTTTTTGTTTTCCCCTGCTAAATGATGTAGGATTAAGAGTTTTTAGTTTCTCCTTCAAGTAAATGAGTTCAGGGAAAAGTCGACAACATGGAAGGGGGAAGCTCTGCGCGATGCGCTAAAGATCCAACTGCTGGCCAGGCCCGGTGGCTCATGTCTGCAATATTACCACTTTGGGAGGCCGAGGAAGGAGGATCGCATGAGTTCGAGACCCCCCTCTCTACCAACAATAGAAAAATTATCTGAGCATGGTGGCGCGCCTATAGTCCCAGCTATTTGGGAGGCTGAGGCAGGAGGATTGCTTCAGCCCAGGAGTTTGAGGTTACAGTGAGCCCAATGACGCCACTGTACTCTAGCCCTACCAATAGACACCCTGTCTTTAAAAAAAAGTCCAACTGTTGAGCAGGCCTAGATCCCTAATTGCCTGAGGCCTTCCAGCCAGTTTCCAGGCGCCCAGGGACCAACACCAGAGCCATAACTCGGCCAGAGATAGACTGGTCTTGCAGAGCCAGGCGGGCAACGGCCCTCAATCCCCGGCTTCCCTTCAATCCCGGGACGCTTCCCCGAGCTGGGGCCCCTCCGCCTCACGACCTGGCCTCTCTGCAGACTGCAAGTTCACCTGCCACTACCGTTGCCGTGCGCTTGTCTGCCTGGACTGCTGCGGGCCCCGGGACCTGGGCTGGGAACCCGCCCTGGAGCGGGACACGAACGTGGTGAGCAAGAGGGCGGGTAATGACGGGCGGGGCGAGGACGGGAGGGCGCTGCATGCAACGAGCGTTTTAGGAGCCGATTTCTCAGCAGCGGAGAGTAGCTAATTCTGCGCGTAGGCTCGCAAAGGTACCCTGGGACCAGGCAGCGCGAAGACCCCACAGTACCCAAGCGGACCACTGCGGGAGTTGGCCCAGGCTCCACGCACGCGCACTTTCCGAACCATCCCGCTCCCACTTCCGGTCCCGCGGCAATGCTGGCGCACTTGCGCATGCGCTCCGACACATTCCGGATGGGAGGTGGGGCCGGCTGGTCGGAGCTGAGTCCGTCTGCCAGGGCGATGAGGTCATTCCTGGAGGCGAAGCGGGTGTGTCCCCGCTCCTCGACGTTCCTCCTCCAATGAGACAAGAGCTAGAGCCTGGCTGTCTACGTTTCAGTCCTAACGGTTGCGGCGCGGCGCAGGCTCCAGCGCACGCGCACACTGACACACGCGTACAACACGCACGCGCCCGGGGCGGTGGTTTAGGCTACCGACGCACGGGACGGGGGCACCGGGCGGGCGCTGCGATGGGTGAGGCGGAGACGCCTTCTTTCGAGATGACCTGGAGCAGCACGACAAGCAGTGGCTACTGTAGCCAAGAGGACTCGGACTCGGAGCTCGAGCAGTACTTCACGGCGCGTACCTCGCTGGCGCGCAGGCCGCGCCGGGACCAGGTGGGAGCCAGGGGTTGCCGGAGGTGGGCGGGGGCTGATCGCAGGACCCTGCCCCTCCCTGGTAAGTTGCAGTGTCGAGCTTTGGTGAACAACCCCACCCTCCGGTCTACGTGGCTCCCTGCCGGTCCTGGCCGGGGATTGGACCGCGGAACCCTGTGTAAAACCCCTATTCCAGCGCCTCGGTACCAGGTACCGAGATCTCCTTAGTCTCCCTGTTACAGACCGACCGGTTGAACCAGGGGAAGCAGGTTTGTACCTTGTGGTAGACCTGAAACAGCCATTATCCTCCTATGACTAAAGCCAACTGAGCAGTCTGGACTAGCACCTCGATTTCTGCGTTGGGACGCTCCCACTGCCTCCCTGGGGAAACTAGAGGAGGAAGTGGAGAGGGAGTAGTTCTTACCAGGAATTACAAGTATGTTTAGGACAGAGAGGCTAAGGGAGATCCTGCCCCTGTATATGCACTCTTGGATGGATCCAGCTGAGTCCCCACCTTTTGCCAGTAGTGGCCTGTCACTGGCTGCTGGGATGTGAAGGATTCTAATCCCCCCCTCTAGGGTGGACCTGGAGAAAGGGGATTTGGGAATGGATAGGAAGGAAACTTTGTTTTGGGTCGTAAGCATTCAGGAGCACTTTACCCACAGGAGGGGAGAGGAAGGCTAAATTGTAAAATGCACTGAGAAAGGTGGAAAGAGATCGGGGTTACTAATCCAGTACTATAAAGTGTGGTGCCAGGGCATCAGGAAAGAGAGATAGAAACTGTGAAGATCAGAAAACCTGGCAGCAAGGGGGCATAATTCCTTATTTGAGCCAAGAAAATGGAGTTGGGGATGATGCTTTACATGAAATTTTATAAAAGGGGTGGCACTTAGTACCCCATTATCTCAGCTCAAAGTGTGGGTGCAAGGTTAGAGTGTGGACCCCTGGGTTGTCTCCCTGCAACTCAGGCCTGAGCCATTGTTTTTCCATTGAAGAAAGTTGGGGAAACCACAAGATAACTAACCAATAGAAAAGGAAGCTGAGAAGTCCCAAGTCCTACGTAAAATTAAACCACTGGTGGCAGTGACAGAGTGGAGGGTGGGTCCCTATGGTACTGAAGAAGGGAAATTCCATGGTCTTGCTGTGCCTCTTTCTGGGACAGCTGTTGGAATCCTCTTCCTGTAGGCAGCTTTGGAAACAGAAAAAGTAACTCCTTCCTCCTCTAGAATCCTGGCAGGATAGCGCAGTGCCTCAAGTCCAAGTCCTTTGCTTTATGAGTGAAGATGCTAAGGGAGATTCACCCAGAGAAAGGAAAGGGCTAAAACTAAGGTCACTGCATCTGAGTCCAGGGCTCCTGGATAATCCAGGAAGGGAAGAAGAACAAGTCTCATTCCCAGGTAGGAGCTGAGAGCCATCCTGAGGAATAAGTTAGCA